CTGCATATTCACGTACAATGATTACGCCTGGGTTTCGTTGTTTGTTTCCTTCCTTGTAGTGTTATCCATGGACAATATCATCCCATTTCGTTTTTCATCGATCATTTCTACCACCCGCCAAAGAATCAGCCATTGTCGCAGTCTGAAAATGGATTACAATCGCCTGTCATGATTGACTGCGTAAATGCATGTCGCCGGAACGTTCGGAACGAACTGTTGGTTTGGTGGAGGCGGGATCGATTTTCAACCTCGATTTTTTTAAACCATTGCCAAAAATTACATACCTGCGTAACCTAATTGAAATTACTTAGCGTAATACACTCACTTGCAAACCACGTTATTTTTTACAGGAAAACCCACCTGAATCCAAGATAAATACCTGGTTCACGATATTCCTCCGAATGTTACGCAAACTCAGCCTCACCTCACTGGTGGTACGATATTCGAGATACTGCAGTACCTTTCCTTGACAAAACATACTACACAGGCTACTGAAGAGCCTTTGGCCTCCTCATAAGTAGTTTGAGCCATAAGGTGATACAGCTTCGTTTTCAAATTTCTAAGAGAGATTGGAGGTTGCGATTCCAGCCTTCGAGCAAGCTAGACCGATTCTTTAAATATAAGCGTATTTCAGATGCACGATTATAAAAGTCAGACACTCTAAATGTGCCTTTTGGAAGGATGATTACATGTCTTCTTTATTTGCCCGAAGTCCAGAGTAAGACGAAGCCAGTGACAGGAAATATACCGCTGGTTACCGGTGATAAGGGCAAAATTTAGTTCCATCGCCTTGTCCATTAGTTGAGGGCTTACCAGACTGACGGTTTCGGAACGGAAGAACGATTATTCGAGAAGAAACGAACTGATCCTAAAGTGTGAATATTTTGGTGTACAGTGATGGTTGCGTCCAAATTCGGTTTAAGACTGCAATCAACTAAGCTTTATTATTTACCATGGTTAATTTTTTATCGGTCGCTCGAACAAACATAAATTCGAATTACCAAGCTTCGTCAAGCCAAGTTTTCAAAACCAACCGCATGTAATAGCCAGTATGGTAACAGTGACGCTGTCGGAACACGAGTACTACATTGTAACTTCCTTGACCCTCAGGCAAATCTAATTCAGGCTAATCCCACTGCCGTAAATTTTCAGGCAAATTTAATTCAGGCTAATCCCACTGCCGTAAATTTGAACGACCCCTCACTCTATTGGGAACGAATTGGTTGGTTTGCTACACCATGGTCGTCAGGTATTATGTACCCGAAGTGCATCTAACGGATGTCTTTTGGGATCTTTTCAGTGCGCACATGAATTGCAGTTTATCTGTTCCTTTCCCGCCCAATGCACCTGCTGGTTAACTACACAGCTAATACCAGGTGTTTAACACATGCTTGGGCGCTTGTTACGATGTAGTGATTCATCCTGACCAGTAATTGGGGTTTGCACTTGATCCTTCGACATTCAGGCCAGAGGTATGACGCCACCCCTACAGACCAAAATGGTAACCAGGTACAGTTGTTTAGAGATCATTCGGATGAACTGACTTTGCTAGGTAGATCATGTTCTTGTGAAGGATGACCGTTCCAGTCGTTCTACGGATGAATGTTTTACTAAGTTTATAATGGACCTTCTTGCATGTACATTGGGAAAGATTGGGTTCTTTCTGCGCACCCATAGAAATCTGGTTTTGGATCATGTGTCTTATTGTAGTGTGTCTTGCTCCAGCAGTTCTAGCAGAACACTCGTCAATATATTCCCAATGTTGATATTTTTGCAACATTCAGTAACATAAACAAATCGGGAGTGACACTTGATGGGCATGCAAGTTGCATTGAACAACCGTTTACTTCACCTATTCTGCCCCATCTAAATCCGCTGTACCTTTCGTTCGCACCAGCTGTGACTGAATGCAAAATTTTGCAAGGTTTCACAAATACACATAGAAAAAATCCTTCTGAAGAAACCTTGTGTCGGCTGCTCATACTTCTTTGATTGCTGGTCTTTGGACTCACAACCTTTTGACAAATACACTTAAATTTTAAAGAGAAAAGGTTCTATTGTACCTAAATTTGTGAAGATAGATGTCACACATTATTACCAAGGTTAAATTTCCAATCGTTTCAATTTAAACATCTGCCTAAAATTTTCTCCTGCAACTTTTTCCCGAATTTCAAAGTGACGACGCCAAAAATCCCTGGGTAATGACATCTGATCAAACATTTTGTTCGAAGTCTTCGCTCCCACTATCACAGTAAAGGACAATTAATACTGCACTACCAGCCAATGTAGTCTAGGGAACACAAACGAGTCCAAACAGGATGATTATTATTCAAGCATGTTTTTATGGCGTTGAACACTGGAAGATGTGCCCCTTCTTGGAATGTTGTACCCACGACTACGAACAGTTTGAATACCATTTGGACGTCTGTATGCATCTGTTTGACGTCAGAGATCACCCAGACTTCACGCGCTTTCAAGGGAAACCCTGTACCTTTTTTGCAGTGCCTTACGAAACCTAATAAACGTAGCTGATTTCTCTGTATAGGTGGTTTTACCATGCTCGCTAAGAATTTATCTAGCTCATGTGTTGGCAAACATACAATGTCACCATTTCCCTTACTAGGGCGTCCACCTTGTGGATTTTTGGCAGCTTGTAAAGCTGTAGTTAAACAGCAGTATTCGTGTAAATTTAGTACCACTTATCTTGCAAAAAACGGTCTGGTATGGGTCTTGCTTTCCTTCTAAATTCAACCTTATTTCATTACTGACGAAATAGTGATATTTTTAGTCCGCCCATCACCTTCGCATATGGTTGTTTCTCATTGAAACGGCTTACTCTTATCCACCCTCTAACAACGGCAATATCCACCTATTAGGCTGTGTTTGAGACTGCCCGCTGTGATGACACTAAGAAACTTGGGCAGTACCTAGCATGGATTAAACCTGCTGTTAATGAAATATATCGTTGGCTGGTTCCCCGCTGACCAACTTCGGAACCCTATCACTTTACCTGACGGGACTTTAATCAGAAGAGGAACGTCACCCAAAATTAGTTTCCAATAGTTTTTCAAACTCATACAAAGCTCAGGTTTCTGCAGGTATGCATTTTGTGACTTCTAAGAAGATCCACATCTTCAATGACGTAAGAATCCGCTACTGTGGGAATCTTCTATTACACAGTTCTGGCTACTCGCCAAACGACGGTGGATCCAATGCCCTAAAACTGGTTGTGTAACTCTTAGTTTGTGTTCCTCTTTGTAAAAAATCCTGTCGTTTTGCCTGGCCACATCAAACGGTGCTACTGAGGCAAGTCCCGCTTGTTGATCTGGGACTTATTGCACAGGTAAAATACTAAACTAGGACCATCTACTTCAGTGATTTCCAGAACAGATTCTTCAAAATCGTAACTTCTGACTAGAGTATGAGTGGTATCGTTATCGACCAGCACGCCATGTGTTATGATTACCTCAGATCGGCGTGGTGAAGCCGCCCTTTATGAAATATTTTGACAATAAACCACCCTCGCCTTGCCCACACATGATTCATTTATACGCTTTTGATTGAGTCCTGTTAAAAGCTAGAGCTTATAGTAACTAAAAGTTTTTTCACCATCATATTTTTCAAACCTAAAACGGGTGGACCGTATGAAGTTTCGAACATCTACATATACACAAGCTGCAAAGGCCAAATAAAAGGCAGAATGACTACCGGACAGTGTCTGATTGGGAAAAACAGCTAAACGTATGCTGTAAGGTAACTGACAGGATGGCCCTGAAGTGCGGATGGCGGTATGTATAGGAAGATGTGATGTTGTGTACGCATTCAAAGGCAAGGATAAGTTCAAACCAGAGGTTCAAATGTGTGAACAATGTATATCTGACTACGCAAAATAGGGTCAGGCCTTTGTAACAAAAGCACTGGCTACGGAGATAAAGCAAGTCCTCGTCGATCATACCCCGAGAAGAACTGTGACTAGTTCCCTGGGTGTCAGTCAGTCAGCTGCTAACCGACCTCTAACTGTCCCCATCAGGCTTTCACCGCTTGGCCAAGATGCCAAATATTGCTTTATCAACCGAAACAGCTTTTCGTTTGTCCTTTTACACTGTCACTGGAAATAAGTATGAAACAGAACAACGGGTCATCGTTTCAGAAGGGTTTGGTAAACAATCGGTGGTTTATGCATATATGTATATATTTATATACATAGCACATAATTATGCTTATTTTGAATCCGACAAAAACTAAAATGTAGAACTTCGCTTCAAGGCTACCCACAAAGTCGATGAAAACTCTGGACAGCCTCCTGCCGGTTTTGTGCATCTTGGTGATCACTGGGAAGTCCTAAACTCTGAATTTCTACCAATTTTGCTTCCAACTTGAACAAGTGGGTTACTACGAATACAACTGAAAATGAATTGAGAATGAACTGAAATTCCCCCGTTGATGCCCCCTCATAGGATTCTGTGAATCGGCGCACTGATTAGATTAGCTTCCTGTGAGAAGTGACCAAGTTATACAGTAATGTTTGTTAGTCTTCAGCACAATCGGTGGTTATGCATATATGTATATATTTATATACATAGCACATAATTATGCTTATTTTGAATCCGACAAAAACTAAAATGTAGAACTTCGCTTCAAGGCTACCCACAAAGTCGATGAAAACTCTGGACAGCCTCCTGCCGGTTTTGTGCATCTTGGTGATCACTGGGAAGTCCTAAACTCTGAATTTCTACCAATTTTGCTTCTAACTTGAACACGTGGGTTACTACGAATACAACTGAAAATGAATTGAGAATGAACTGAAATTCCCCCGTTGATGCCCCCTCATAGGATTCTGTGAATCGGCGCACTGATTAGATTAGCTTCCTGTGAGAAGTGACCAAGTTATACAGTAATGTTTGTTAGTCTTCAGCACTGGTTGACACTTAAAATGCAGGACGCACTAAACAGGGCTTCAGAGGAATTTACTAAAAATGTCCTACTGTTTTCATTTTCAGTTCCAAATGATGACGACGGACATGCAGCAGAGAAAACAAAGTTGGGGAAAACAAGAGAAGCAGAGTTTGCACAATCAAACGCGCGAGCAGCAGCAAATAAACTGGTGGCTGATTCATTCTTCGGAACCGTCGCAGGACGCTTGGCACAAGAAATTCATGACGAGTTCCTTGTGTGTAAAATATGCTTAGAAAGCTACAACAACCCAAAGTGTCTCAGTTGTTTACACACGTTTTGTGCGGCCTGCATTGATAAACACATTTCTGCTGAAGTCACTTATAACAAGTACACCGACTACCGAGATTTCACCTGTCCGCTATGTCGGAAGCGAACGCAATTGCCACTTGGAGGAGTTAAGAGGCTTCCCGACAACTTCCTTATTTCAGGCCTGACGGAGTTGGTCATGCGACAGCGTGCCTCTTCTCACTCATCGTCTTCCATTACCTTGACTGCAGGACCCAACGGTCGTGGCCTCGGAGATGGACTGGACACCAACAACTGCTCATTAAATGGTGAGGATGATAATGATCGTGTTCATCAACTTCCTCGATTAAATAGGCGTGGTATTACCTTCGGAGAGTGTGAAATATGTGCCCAAGTCGGCTGGTTGGATCGCGGACACTCGACAGAGCCCGTTAGCAGACCTTTGTCTAACGGTGACACTGGACGAGCCAGCTCGGCTCATTTAAGCAATGCGCCTCAGGCATCATCCAAGTGTTTGGATTGTAACAAACTTCTATGTATCGAGTGTGTTAAGCGACACCGGAACACCAAGGTCACTAAAGATCATGCCACTTTTGATTTGCAGTCCGGCAAAGAGATTGAGTGCAAAGAGCATCCCGGTGAAACCGTTCGGTTTTATTGTGAGGCCTGTTCGTCGTGCATATGCGTCCTGTGCACCTTCAATGAACATCGAGAACATGAAGTAACCAGTTTCGGTGAAGCTGTGAATTGCTTGCGGGCTGAATTGGAAGGGGCCTTGGAGCACGCTTCCAGACGAATTCTTAGTTGTCAAACCAGAATGAATGCAGTCAATGAGGCGTCGGAGTTGGTTCACAACTTGGAAAGGCAAATTCACGAAACTGCTGAACATTTTATCGAAGCAGTGAGTAATTGTTCCGATGAACAATTTGTGACCATTCTAATAACATCATGTTGTAGCGGGGAAAATATTATAGCTGACTCCTAAGGGGAGGTAATCCAATGGCTCTTTGTCAATGATTCTTAATGACAGCAGATTTTCCAGTGAAAGATTGTTCAAAGAACTAACAAAAGTCGTCACCCTGAAGGAAACTGCTTTAATTTAATGCACATCGGATACAATAGCCTAGCTCCTTAATTTGATTTGATAGAAGAAATGTGGGGCATTTAGTTCATTTTGTTTAGGTAATTGGCTGAGTAATAATAAACCAACCAAATGTATCAAATATACATATTTTTATTTAGTCATTCCTAAAATCAAATAACTGATTGAGTTTTGGATTAAATTCAAATTGGATAGCATAAAGCAATGAATTTTGAGTTGCTAAGAATGTGGACGGGGCAGAATAGAATTACGTACAGGATAGATTCCAAGAGCCTGAAGTCCACTTGATCGAAGTGACAATTTTTCGGGGTAAGAAGTTTCAAATTTTCAATAATTTGCTTCCATTTAGTGTGTCCTGGAAAACCCTTTGTGTTGTCGTTACGTTTGTTATCGGGGCTGTCATAGAAATAGTGCTAAGTGTTTAAAAAGCCATATATAATAAAAGAAGGCTGTTGTTACTGGCATTGATTCAGGTAAAACAGTTTTCTTAATTGATAAATTTTCCTCAAAAAGAGTCTGCAATACTTGTGTGCAATTAGTGCTGAAATTTAACAACAGTGGTCTGCCACATTGTACAAATAAAAGACATTCAAAGCTGCGAGCAAATTACATGATTACCGGAAATCACTGAAGTAACCTAATTTACTTTAAGCTACTGAAATGGAATATTTACTCACATAATTCTCCCAGAAAGATCCGGTCGTTATGAGGTTACTATGCATGTGAAATGATGTTCAAAACGTCGTTTTGTCACTGCTACCCGCCAACTACTTTAAAAAATCAGGGAAATAAACTTGTTGGGATTATGGATTGATTGAAAATCTTTGCTGCTGAGACATCTTTGTTTTTTCAATACACTACTCACCTATGATAACACACCTAGGTTTTCCCACTGACGACCTGAGAAGCCTGTACTAACACGGGACAGGGTGCACCTAAGTCAAATTTCTTTTCAATGCGTGGTTCCATTGACATCCCTGCGCTGTTGGTCAGATTCATCTCAATGCTGAATTCCCCTTTTTCGGTCAAGATATATTTGCCTTTTTTGAAAGAAGAACGACTCATGTTTAGTTTTTGTCATGAGGACCTTAAATTATGGATGTTTGTATGCTATCGTGTCCGCTTTGTTTTTCGGAACACCGACCATCGCAAAGGAGGACCTTACCCTCTAACTCGTGGCACAACGATATAGCGTTGTGTTTTCACGTTTTGCGCGAAACTGACCGATGCATCAGCCTCGCTGAACCTTCTTACGGGTGAAAAAATTTCGACTTCTTTCTGTCGTCAGAAACGTGGTATTGCCATGCTGTCCCTTAAGGTTACAGTTAGTAGCTTCTCGGCTAGTAGTTGAAAACTAGGCCTTCCTCCCAAGAGTTGCTGTTTATCGATGTGAGTAACTCGCAACTGGACACAGTGTAGTGTCACTGTGTAGTCACAAAATACTCGTCACACGGTCACGTCTTGTCTGGTTTCCCATGTAAATTATTCTCCCTTCTGAGCTACTCACAGTTAGTTGGTAGCCCTGGAAGACTGAAATTTTATTAATAATCTTTTATGTAAGTGAAGCCGATCTACACCGGAAGACCGAGAAACAGTGCATGGCAGTCTAATTATGGGTTTATCAGACTGCCAGTCGGCAGCTCGTCGCCAGTAGCCTTCAACTATTAACCGGAAGGTTGCAAGTTCGGATCATCCGGAAATTCGTCAGATGCACCTTTATGGTGATACTTAGTATGCAGCAAATAGCCCATTAGTAATTTCTGGCTGTTTAGAATAGAATCATCTCATCTACGGGCCAGGTGTTTTACTTGGACCCAAAAACTCCTCCAGGGGGCGAGCCAATATTTCATTCCTACGTCCTTTGCTCCCCCTAGTAAATTGTCTGGTTTGCTTACAAATCTTTTTTACCAAGTGATTCAACGTGCACAGAGCTAGACTACTCGCGTTTCTTTCAGTGTTACTTCCATGACATCCTTCAGTCATACCAAAACAAAGTTTGGATACTGTGAGATTCTAAATATCTCCGGCGTCCTTCACTGTGAGCTTGTTTTGATATGTAAAAACACAAGAAATACATAAGCGTCTATCACATGCTGAGAGAGATCACCACATACAAAAACCGTAGGTAAAGTTGAACACAGCGAGATATTTGTATCTTATAAACCAATCTTTAGTAATTTCAAAGAATATGTTGTATATGTGTGTCATCTGACTGCCTACAAATATTCTTTGCATCAAACTGCCAAGTGTTTGTGAAGTGCTTTACCGCTCACAAGATTCCTACATGCGGTTCCTCAGAACACTTAATACAGCTGAACCATCAACACTCTGAAAATGTCCTCGCTGAAGTCGAAGGCCGAGTCTATGAATCAACCGATGGCATAACGATGGGTAGTCTCCTTAGACATTTGTTGGCAGACGTTCCTTTAGGAAGGAACGAAAGAGCAGTCCGATCCTGTATAGAATACCATATTCTACAAATAATATGTAAATGTCAACTTAGTTTTGGCAGAGTGCAATCCTTTTAAGTACCCATACAACCATGTGAACGAGTTATATCCAAAACTCTCAGTATTTTCTGAAGCGGAGCCTGGCAGCAGCTTGATATTTTTAGATGCTCTTATTGTCTTATGCCCAGATGACTCTTTGGTTTTTCGAGAGCCTCACATGGAACCCAGCTGAATCTCTCGTTTGTGATGTTCTCAGGCAACTGAATTAGCTGCACCAGGCCGCCTCATGTTTTAGTCGCTACGAGAACATCACAAGTGAGAGATTCGGCTGGGTTTCAGGCGAGTCTCTCGAAAAAACAAATTAGTTTGCGAATGAATGTATATTCGCGAGGTTTGTCGGTCCTTATCAACCCGGTTGGGCGCACAAAGACCCTGACTTCGTCCAGCAACTTGCATTGGATTGAACAAACAATGCAAGCTGCCCGGTTTCGCTGTTTTACTGTTGTTCATTCCTAGTTGTAATGAAGGATCACTTGTTCCAGTATCGTGGCTGAAGGTATAAAAGCGAAATATCAGCGCTCCATCGCATTTATCTTCTTTTTGTGCTACTCAAACGGATAAAAGTTACCCAATGTTTCAAAACACCAATGTGTTACCAACCCTTCTGGTGTACCGCTCTGTTGCTCGAATCCGTCAACAAATTACGGTGCCTTATAGATATCCCATGAAAATAAGAATAAACACCGAAATGAGGCAGTTTTCCACTTCTGCGTCGTTGATATGACCAAATGACACCACCAACGAATAACGGCATAATTGAAGTACTAAGCAAAGCTTTCAGACGAACACTTAGAAGTCACCTCTTGCACGCACACTTCCATTCATTAACTGCAATCGTTTTATGTGGCTTGTCCGTAGAAGGTGAACAGACGTTTTAAGACATTGCGTCTTCCAGCCAACCTACGATGAAAGTTTACTTCAAGCAAATGGAAAATCTCTCGAACTTTGCACTGCCAATTTAGACGTGACGGGTTTAACCACTTTGACTGGACTTTGATTCCGAAGGAACGAGTTTTAAGACATAGCGGTTTACGACAGATACGTTCGCTTGATTCGGTATAACATCTGTTTACCTTAAATGAAGTATGGGGAGGCTGAAAACTAGACGAAAAATTCACAAATTGCAACCGATTATAAAAAAACGCTAAACGGGTTTATCACAGACCCTTCCATGCTCACTAGGTTGATTTCACCAAATGAAGTTATCATAATGACTTGACGATAGTTTGCGCTTGGCTTGAACAGTAAAGTTCACACAATCGTCGCAGCACACAATTAAATTTCCGAGAAAACTGAGTTGAACAGCCTGCTGCGTATATATATTAGCCTAGACTTTCATCATACAGTACATCTTATTTTGACGGACGGGGGCTCTCTCCTTAAAGTGGTTTAACAAGGTTACTTGGCAACTCCGAGACTCGTAGGAACCCGAATAAATATCCACAGACTGAAAAATGCGAGTCAGCAGTGATACTCAACGAGAAGAGGCTGTTCACGGAAGAATCTAAGAGCTTCACAATAAATCAGGTTAAGTTACCGACAAACTCACCTTCGCTTCAGATAATGTATGACAGTCTGAAACCGGAAGTCATGCACTGCCATTAAGCGACAGCCCATTCTTCGTCTACTACAGTTTTCCGAATATGCTTCCCGTAGACAAATTCCTCCAAATCCATGTAAACCGTGCCTAGTCTCGTTCTGCTAGCTAATTTGCCTCCTACACAGACCCTGTCCAACTTCGCGTGATCTTTCAGGGCCATATGTGGTGCGCCACAAAATTTATTACCCATCTGATCTATTTCACAGCAAATGTATCTAAGTGACTGAGTGAGTGTAGAAAGTATATGGGTTATTCCCTTGAAATACCAATTCGTCTTATGTTACAAGTTGCGAAGAGACTTAGACTTAGGAAATTAGAAATCGGATTTCATAGTTTGATAGCAATATACATTACAAAACAGATGGCTCGCGTTCACTGCATATTAAAGGCTTTTTTAACCAGATATTAATGGCACGATACTTATTCTTTCTATACTGAGCCGAGTTCTTTACTCCTTAGATGTCAGCGACTCTGGTGCTGGAAGTTCCAAATAAACTTTATACTTGGGCGGTGATTAATTTTCATCGCTTCTCTATTGAATTACCCACTTCGCACGTTAATAATACACCGATATACCATGGTAGTCTTAGTATAATAACACAATGAACAGAAATAACGTTCATTTCTCCAGGGAGATTATCACATACTCAAGTGCAGGAATTTTTTCTCTATGGGCACCACGTTTCTATCCGGTTTTCATAAAAAGAACATTGAAGTGTAAAGTAAATGTCAGATAATAATAGTGGTCCAGTCTTATAAATATTCATTAATCCAATATTTTGGACTTTATTTGAAAAGTCTAGCAGCGTGTCAAAGTTCAGCATCCGTACCATAGGTATGTGACAAACATGAAAAAAATTAATTGCTAAGAGTAGTGGTAATTTATGGTCGATCAGTGTACAGTGCAATTCTTGACGTATTTTGCAAGAAAGGTCGGTCCCTAGAAAACTACCACCTGCACTTATGCGCCTTTATATTGTTTTATTTCGTCAACCAAAGGGGTTAAAAATTGCTGATTGGGTGATCAAGTTGCGGATATACCTCATATATTTTGAAACAACATTTTATCTGCAGCAAATAACCTATTGAGCAAAATATGGTAACTTTTAAAAACAAATGAAGCGTCTTTTCAAAAGATTTCACCAAGTGGACCGGTCTCGATTTGACATAAACTCAAATTGCGTAAGGTGTTCATAGTCGCGAGAATTTGGGATTGTCTCAACCTCAGTCCTTCATCGATTCTCTTCGGTTCTCGAAACAATCTAAACACTGCATGAGGAGAAAGAAACTCACAGTGACCCACAGGAACCGGAGAAGCACTGTACTGACTAAGATGCCGAGAAATTGAACCCCATGGGCATTGTGGACAGCCAATTTGCTCAGTAGCTCAATTGGTAGGGCACATGTCAGATAAGCGGGATAACGGTGATTCAGAGCCGCGTCTAAGTACCTCTTTTTGTTCGTTATATCTACACTTGGACTTCTCATTACACAATTCATCAAATATCCTCCTATTTTCTAGCAATCTTCATAAGCCGTTCACAATTCTTGGCGCAGCTGTAAAGTGGCCACACTGAACTAGGTAAAAAACTCAGAGTACAGAAATCAACCAGTGGTATGTGGGACACATTAATCAAGCAAATTTTCTCGCATAGGATAGTTCAAGCAAACCGTGAAGTGACATTTAGGTGTTGCACAGTAATGAACAACATATCATCTCCGGTGCTTGAGGAAAAAGTATCTTTCTGATTTCAAGCAACATTTATGCTCTAAGTCTTCAAAGTTGATCGAAAACCTCAAGCTAAATTGTTTACGTTTTTCAGAGTAGACGGAGGAAAAAATCACACAATTTCAAATGAAATGCAAAAGCCTGTCTTCAGAATTGTAAGAATAGATGTTGGGTGATTCTTTGACAGTTGAGAGAAGATTTTAGCGACGTAAGGTCCCTGAGTAAACCGTTGTTCCACTTGTTCAAGTGGATTAAACGAACGTAGCTAACCTTGAGTAGCCGGGATTTTCATTCCACAGCAAAATTCATTTTCACCGACAGCATGTAAAAATTGTTAACCAAAAAATTCTAATCATCCAGATGGCCTACAAAAAATGCAGCATGTTGCACGGTGTTCAGATTCCTTTAAGAGGAAATATTGATTGTATCAACGCCGCCTGATCTTTAAGTTTTTCTGATGCGGAAATTTGTGCACCATTGGAAGCAAATTTATTGTTCGGATCTGCCGTCAGCTCTATCTCCAAAAGTTTTCCCATTATCCACGAATAATCCCACAACATGTCAGAGAAACAAATTATAAAGCAACTTGGAACTAAGCTGAGCTAATTGTTTATTGCTGTTTAACTACCAATTCACCAGTTAAAAAAATTCTTTCAGTGGCTAGGAAGTAAAATGAGTATAGCAAAGGCAGTAATTGCGAATGCACGTAAACGCATTTAGTTATATGGATTGAGCAGAATGCTGAACTGCTAAAATGTAATGTTTGGTGCCACAGTAACCAAAGCACCGTACTCCACCTTTTGCAGTGCAGGAAACAACAGTGAGGTTGCTTCCATTTCCAACCGGTATTCTAACGGTATTGGACATTGAAAACTAAAGGTCGCGACAAATGGAGATGTGTCGTAAACGCGGAACCTTTTGCGCCATTATGGTTTAGTTAAATTGCGTGCACGGACAATTCTGAAAGCAGCCAGTGCAGAAAACGTCACCGTGCACAAAGTCAGGATAAAATAACCCACAGAAAACACGCAAATCTGCATCGCTGTGGACCTGAAAGTTAAGTGTCCGCCAAGCAATCAGCGAAGCGAAGATGACTGTCAAACTTCCTCTACAAGTAAAGGAAATAACCACGCCGTCCGAAACACATGAAGCGTCAATATGAATGCTCTTTAGTGACGGTGAAAGTGCGATCAATGACACCGACTGGTATTGGGATAAAAGCCGCGGAAATCACAGCTGAGAAAGCGAAGGATAATGTGACCCATGGATCTCTCTTTATGTAAAATTTTGCTTGATAAATTCGTAACCTAAACACAATTTGATTTTAAAAACAAACTGACAAAAGATGTTAAAGGAGTGAAAAGATGTCCATATTTCGATAAATTGAACTATTTGACAACTAGGTACGCCTTCTCGTATTCAAGGACGAATGGAGGTGTACAATCCTACCACTACGCTGCCAGGACCAACAAAATTTACGGTATTACGAGCAAGGAACACGAAATCTACTGATGAACTATTCATCACATCGTCCTAATCAACAATCATACGGCGTGCACCAAACCCAGAACGTAATGTATGTAACAAAGCCAACTCGATATGAAAAAACTGCACACACATACGAATGCTGAGGTATGTGAATCAAAAAGCGAATTTTTTGTAAAAAAAGACAGGCATAAGAAGGACCAATGAACCTAGAAAAATCTCACCTGCCAAGAAGGCAGCAGTTCTAACGTATTTTTAGTAAAATCCAAAAACTAACGCTCCCCGTTGAAAATATTCCATGTACCCTATGATGGAAAAAAGTTTGGCGGAGATTTGTAAGGTAATGAAATTCAAATGCATTGGGCTGCTACACGCCAACAACACTACTGAATCTGTGTTGTGGAATATATATTTATATGTAAATATGCGTACAAATGTATGTATATATATATGCATTTATATACATATATACATGTATACGTGCAACGTGTAATAAAATCCGGAAGCATCAATATGTATGCCGTGTATTTTGATAGGAGTGGTCTTTTTAACTTCAGGCGTATATTGACAAGTCTAATCACAGACAAGCCAAGCTTGGTGAAAGAGACTACAAAGCACGATTTTTGTGTCATGGCTAGGCGAAGACGGCTTTCAACCTTTGACCGCTGCCTTTTAATGTACACGAGAATGCTTTTCTCGGACACATTTGACTGGTGTTCACTTGTGTGTATATATCACCGTATGTATGCGTTTGTAACAAAAGGATAAGGAAAGCCAAGTTACACAGTACCTGGCACAAGCCATGACAGCAAAAACTACCATCTGTAGTCGGTGGGCCGAAATTGTAATCCTTTTAGCTAATGCAGTCTAAACCTACTTGTAAGTCATGAAAAAGGAACCTTTCCGGTACATCTTTGCGCCAGCATAATTTGATCGAAGTTCAAATTATTTTGTAAACAAATCCAGTTCACCTGACTGTTCAGACTTACTTCTGCCGACTAGCTAGCACTGCATGTGCCGGCTGTCATGCATTTATTTTGCTACCTTCCTTTCAGTACTCAGAATTTCGAGACATTAATAGTATTTGTGTTAGCTCTTATAGCACGATGAATGCCTGAGCAAGTTTTCATTCACCTTGCATCCTAAATCATGCAATTTTTAACGTGACAGCCTACGGATATGATTACGAATCCTAGATGTTCGACTGTTATTTGGAAAGGCCTCCCAAAGTGGTACGTCATGTGTGGGGAAATTGAAAAACGCGAAAATACAACCGCATTTCAAGTCAATGAATTTTGTAGGGCGGCCCCTTCCACATACTAGGGCTTTAATCTCGGTTTTATTCAAATGGATGCTAGCGCGTTTTACGGCAAAACGGAAAATCGTTCATTGTGTATATGAAGCATTTACCTCCATGAGCAAGTCACCATATCTCGAACGGACGTAACGATTGGTCATGTTGGTTTTATTATACCATCTACATTTTGCTTGAATTCTAAGTATGTACAGTTTTAGGTTATCTTAGTACACATTACTGCCCTATGTTTCTAATTATATGTTTGATTTGAAAAGATCCAGAAACAAGAACAAGAAATCCTACATGATCTACATGAATTTATTGGGTCTAAAAATATGGCAACTATCAATCACCAGCTGGATGCGGAACATCGATTGGAATTGGCAGAGAACATCTACAAAGAATCATCTAAATATGTAGAGGGACAAGAAATTGACATGCTTCTGGCTAAATCAGAGTTGTACGAAAAGTTGAATCAACTCAATGAACTGCACTTGGATGAAGCGGAGTTTGAACCCATTACCGCTGAGGTATATTTCCGTCCAGGAACTGCCCAACTCGGTTACCTTACAAACGAAGTTTCCGGTCCACCAACGGAACAGTATGAATATCTTCACCTACCACTTTCCTCGTCACAATCTTCCCTTGAACTGGCTAACAGGTGAGCATACAACACTTGATTTCCTAGAGTTGTTTTCATGGGCATCCTTTGAAATACTTGGGTTTAGTTAAAGCGGTATTACAAACCGAATTTGTTTGACACAGACATCTGGTCTGTACAAGTACAATCACTCTATATTTGCCACCAGTGTTAAGTTGAAATAACTACTTATCTACCGCCTAAGACCACAACACACATGCCATCATCTGTGTAAGTTTAGATGAGAATAGTCAGTGTTAAACCTGGAGTCGAACACCGGGTATGGCGCCCTGGAACTTCAGATTAAAAAAAACTATCTTACTAGTCATGAGAGTTGACGCTACAAGTTTTACAATGCCAGGAAAGCTTCGCTGTCTTATTAGGTTTAACTTTGGCTGAAAAATGTAGAGACCTTAGCAAACACCTAGCCATCTTTCTGCATCAGTGTCCACTTGCCTTTATTTGTTGTTGATTCATCGTCATCCATAGAATAGCTGTTACAAGTGATTTTGTCCTTAGAGGCCTTCAGGTTTTTTGTTTACCCCAGCTACAGTTGGAAATCTATATAGGCCTTGTAAGGTCATTTTGACTGGCTAAAAAACAGTCATTCGGCGATTCCAAATTACAAGTAGAAACTTACTGCAATAGAAATATTGCAATCTAGTGATTATCGATCCGAGGGGAATCAGCTGTGAACACCATCCATCAAAATGATGATTTTAGTCAGATTTCTCTCTTTCTGGAATCGCTTGACGTTCGTCCTTTACAGATTTCGATCGGCTTTCCAGTTTTTTTCCGTCACCTACCTAGTCTTGTCTGGTACTGATTTTACACAAGTAGCTCAGACATATGTCGGCACTGTTTACGCCCTGTTTAAGCTACCTAGTGAGATTCTAAACCGGTAGAAGGAAGTGGCTGGATGTTCTTATTTAACACTATTACTTAGTTAATAGCATGGTAGGTTGATTTTTTTTCTGTGCCTGCACACTGGCATAGTTTGTCGGTCATTGTACCTTTAAGGTCTCGACTATGTACGAGCCTTTACCGTTAGACTAAGACTCACTTAAAACTACTTCGTTTCGTATTGTTTCATTGTAATCAAATTGTGTAAATATGAGAAAGTTTTGTACAACAATAAGGAAATGATTTTGACCACTGTATATACTTATGGCATTGTTTGTGCAGACGAAACTTCCAAAATTTGCCCAGGTATCTTGTTTTTTTCAATTAGAGCTCTGTATCCAATCTGTATCCTAATAAGTACATACCAAAAACAGGCCATGATCTTGCAGTAGTTTAGTGTACAGTTTTACTATGTTTGAATGCATTTTATTTATTTCGGAAGCACAATGTTTTCCAAAGCTACTAGACAGTTTACCTAAGCGTATATTTGATCCTTTTGGGAAGGTAATTTTCCTCGTTATCCGGGGGTTTTGGCCGTCGACTTTCTAAACTTTCGTCGTTGCTCTTCTATTAGAGCTATTCAATTTTTTCAGACGGATTACCGACTTATTTTCAAAGTTAATTTTGTATACACAGAAATCCTAAGGCGAAATGTTGAGTGCCGAGAGATTATGAAAGATTAATTAATCAGTAAGCCTGATTTAATCAATACCCACTGGTGAACTACAAACAACATTCACGATGTCAAGATCTTTAACAAATCATGGTTACAAATGGCATTAATTGTTGAGTCGCATTGTTGATTCATGTCAGTAGTAAGATGAAAGAAGAATTTTCGTCAAAGCTTGCAAAATTCACGGGATATCATTCAGGATACAGTGTATGCAAAGTTTATCCTCATAACCTGGCTTCCTAGTTCAATCATTTGTTGAAGTGGATCAGGAGAATCGATCAGAAGTTAGGCTGAAAAATCAGAGCAGAAGTGCCCGACAATGTTTTAACCGTTTATACCTGACGTTGTAGTTCTAGAATGACGTGGGGTTGAAAAGCAATTACTTGCCAACAAGAAAGTAATATCTTACAAAAACGGTCCTCAAGACAGAGTTAAAGCTTTAACATCCACTTCAAAATCACTTCAAAGAGGGCCATAAACTTTAAACTGGTTTCTCTGGCCGTCTACGTTGGGATTTGATATATAAATCTAAAATGGGCCTTACTCGGCGCCCCGTAGGATCAACATTGGCTGAAGTGCACTGCCTATTCTGGAAGTTTGAAAGATTTTTCCAGAAATCCATTTATGAATAGACTAATTTATTTGTCTCCTCATAGGCCGATAAATTACCAGACGCACACAGGAGTGGTCTAACAAGAAAGTTTCATATTAATGTGCTCCAGACAAGGGAATTAGTGGTAAAAGAAGCTATTAACTTCGACACGTCAAGAGTTTTTCAAACGTGTTCTCCATTTGTTACACGAGAATTTCCCCAGTTACAACTCTTCTTAAAGGTCACCGAACGTACACAGGTTTCTGAGATACGCCTTCGGCAACACGTTCAAGTGATCTTGGTTTCTGTTTTTTTTCCCGAACAAGAATAGTATACACCGAACTGAAATTTGATTGAGTAAAATTTGGGTGGGCTATTTTTTAGCCACGCTCGTTTTATACGCTAACCATAACGAAAGGCATTTGCTTAGGGCAGTAAAGTGTCTACTGTGCAAATGGGACAAAAACAAATCGTCTACTGTACATCGAGATTAAGGTTATCCAAACAGAATCGAGGTGTTTTCCGCACCTGAAACAAACACTCGGAGACCCCCGTATCGATCTAAAACGAACTTAGAGTGTAAAGTCAATTCAACAGATCATTTCTGATGGAATTGCCAATGAAAGATAATGATGTATATGCTAATGAGTTTAAAAGCTAGTGAATTGATAACAGAGACGACAGTAAAAAACGAATCTGTTTTCCACCTCTTTAGTACCACAATGGGCTTCGCTTCTACCCGTGAGGAACCTGAACACTGGGTTCATTTATTTCTCTGATAGGAAACCTAAAAAGACGTACTACAGTATACGGAAACCTTGTTTCTATGTTCTTTCGTGGATTCCTTTTCAGGGTATGTCCTCTTAGGTCACTGAAACTTTTATTAGGAAGTACACTATGCTGTACGTCAAAAAAATGCACAGACTCGTCTGATTGCTAACCAATGGTTAGGAGAAAATTATATATTTATATTATCACATCTTTATGTGCTTATATATCTTTATATTATGCCTTTATAACAATCGAAGATGCAGTGTCAAATTAGGAACCTCAGTATCAACTTGTTGACTTTGCCTCTGATAAGCCAATTTTGAATTTAAAATAATTTACTAAAAATGTTACGAGTATTAATTGTGTGCAGCGGTCCACAGCTTAGTTATCGTTCCATTATCATGACACCCGGTAGTTATCTGTTGGTTACCAACATTCAGTTAACTTGCAGCTTTCAGCCTACCTTACTCGATGATGAATGAGTAAATAACCCCCACTTATCCCCACTAAATATGACCCAACAGTTTGTCTATTGTGCAGTGTTGCCTGTTTATTTCGAATAATCAGGAAAAGAAACGTTAAGTTATTCTCAACATTTTTATGATGTTTTCCATTACCACACAGGGAAGAATGTTTCACACTATTGGTTTTTTTTCTGGTTGCTTTACCTTGCCAGTGGTTTTAAGTAACAATGTGTGAGTGAAAGCGTCATTTGGACGGTTGTTGTCGCTTTAGTCAGTCTAGATACAATTTTTCTTTGGGTAACTGAATCCTTTACTTCGTATGGGTATCCGTGGAACGGACCCAGTCGTGTTGTGACAGTTTGTGTGCCTCCACCATCCATTGAGTTTACAGAGGATGTCCATGCGCCACCCGCAGTATCTCATATTTAGTTTGTTTGTGGTAGAGGTCTGACCAAAACAATCTCCCGGCCTTCAATGCTAGGGGTTAAAACAGATGTAGCGACTTGTTTTATAAAGATTGTAACGCATCTACATTTCCCTTCAGGTGGTCAGGCATTTGAGCTAAAGCCTTTGGTCCAAGACCCTAATCATTCTCTTATCTAGGTGTGAGTGCCCTAACAGTATCCCAGTCCACGTACAACCGTGAAGTGCACACGTATTACCCGATGAAGCATCATTGTTGAAGACTGTTGCTATGTTGTCGATGATGGTGATTACGATGGAAGGGACGTACCTTGATCACTAATAGAACATTATATGCACGTAAAGGACAGTCTTTTCGAACAATTCACCACGATCACAAGGTGGAGTTACCCATCCAGTAATAAATTGTCAGATAGCAGGGCAGTCAGCCGTATGCGCGGAGCTCTTAGATTAGGCTAGACTGATGTGGATATCCAACGTATAAATTCATACCTTCAGGTTACTCCACATAGGCTGTCAATCGAGGGCAACTTTAATAAGATTTCATCTCGTCTGCGTCGCAAGATAATGGAAGGTTATGGAAAATGTTTTAATTCGTAGAACCCAAAGATACAAGATTCCCTCAGGAAGTGTCATTCACCCCTGAGGGGTAACACTGCTCTCGCGGAAGAGGAAATGTCCACAGTAACGTTACCTCAAATTTTGTATGCTTGTTTCAAGGAAGATCATTAGGTCCCTTCAGATTCTGGCCAGTCACACAAATACTTGAAAACGGCTGCCCTTAAGCCATGAATTTTGATTACGTTTGAACCCGTTACGGTGTTTTTTCATGTTACGAACCACCTAAAGCCAATTTTTCTAAATAAAATCCGAGGTAAACGTGACCCGGATTTCCTCCATTTTTCTCAGCTGATTGATCATCAATATACTTTTCAATGTTTTTTGTATTTCCAAGGCCATTTCTGAGCACGACTGCTAGTCAGACTGACTCTAGCCTGCTTGAAGCACTCGCGCCAAAGCCGAAACCCAAAGAAGAGAAACAATACAGATGCAGAGGGTGCAACACGGAGTCACTAGAGACACGGGATGAAGAAACGAACACAAGACCGAGAGGAATCAACACGAGCATTTCCTTCAGTGAGGCCGTCTCAAATGCCAACTCGGAGGAACTACTGAACCAACTGGGTACAAACAATCTTGATTTCCAATCGATGGACAATCTAACACGAGCCCGAATGCGTCGAAAACTTCGCGAACATTGCCACACATTTGATGTGTCCACAGGGGCACAACCGGAAGTTGTGGTGAATGGTGAAAGACAGAAGCCTCCTCGTGGTCTCAATGATTGTGGCTTCCGTCGTTATAGCACAATTGACAAACAGCATCACTAATCGGCGATAAGATTTCATAACATGGTTTACCTAAATGGCCTCGAATGTCTAAATCAAGCGGTGTGCTTGAACTTTCTGTGGGCTGAAACATCATTTCACGGAAAACTTCAGTTTCACATACGAAAGAACATAGTTAAAACTACCGAAAAATGGCAATTTCCCTATTGATTATCCTCACCAAGCGGGGCATGTGCAGCCCCATCTAACATGACTGCACTCTCTTTCTTTCCGGTTAACTCATGTTGTGCTGCAATTAATTTTTTGTGTACATAGGACATGACACTAAAAGTGAATACCCCAACTGCTGCACTAGTTGCTAAATACGCTGGTTTTTCGCATGTCAGATGACTTTCAAAAAAAACATTTTGCTTCTAATATATACAATCCGGGTTCGGCGTTCAAGAAAATGTCGTTTCAGTTGTTCTTTCAGTTAGGTGCGTCGTTGGTGTCCTTTTCCTACGTGGTCATCTTCCGTCCGACCGATCCAGTTTGGCCACAAAACAGTCTAATCGGGTTGATGCTTCTGAGAACAAACCATCATACGGAATACCGATGGGGGATGGTCCTTCCATTAATTTACACGCATTTCGCCCTTGGTCGGCTCGCATGTTTGACGGCCATCCTAATCATTATTGAGTGTGGCGTTGAAGTATGAGGAGCAGGGGTACAAAATTGACCAAAATCATACCAATTATGCATATGTGAACGTTCTGTATTCCTGAGTTTGGTTTTCATCTTGGACACGAAATAGAGCACCAAGCACTTATAGCAACCCATTCGCCCTTTGCAGATGGGGGAATGTTAACAAGCTCGCCAAGAATGTTAGGTGTGCAGAGTTCAAACCCCTGAATAACCAAGAACATCCACTACTAATGAACTGTTGCTGAGCAAAACTCGAGTTCAGTGCTTCAATCACTTAGTATGGCCTCAGCAGAACAAGTGGGCCAGAACAGGTGCAGCACTGCTCAAACAAATGTGATCTGAACGTGGACCTTTACATTCTACGACGAAATACGTCATTTTCCGCAGACGATAGTAGTAAATTCAGTTCCCTCAATGTATTGGAATAGCAATGCTAAAATGGTTTGCGTGGGGCAGTCCCGGAACACTTATTCCGGTGGTACATTTTAAGGATGTGTCCACCTAGTTCTTTCAAATGGATTGGGCCCCTTGGTTTATTCCATTGTATTTTATTTTATTTAACTCTAAAAACACAACAGCGCTGTCATGATGATGAAGACCTTTTCTGCAAATAACGAGTTTTTTGCAGCTGAAAAAAAGGGAATTCACGAGCGATGGATACCTCATGTTTGTCGATTTGGGAGCCATTAGTAGCACTTTGTTCAAAAGGATAGCCTTACAAGACAGATGGTGCGGTAAAGTATCAGCTTTAGCATCGATGTAGATGCAACTGATGAGTAAGGGAGTGAAACTGGAGATGAAGTTGATTTTGACGATGAGGATGATGATAATGATGACCAAACTAGCCACGATTGTCATTAAAGTAAAATGCGGTCAGATTTTGTCGTCCGCCTTTAAGTATAGAGTCCTTATGCGCTTGGCTGGATACATTTTAAGAAACGACCGCTAATCCATGTCCGTTGCTTTCCAGATTGACTTAGCGTTTGCCCGTGTAGGCACCTCGGAATGCTTGTGACAGGTTAGCGTCAGGTCTTTCTCATCCATTCTTTTCTGTCCTTTCCAGTTTAAAGTATAAGTTCAATTAAATGAACATTGTGATTGCACGGCGGTGGAGCATTGATGCTAGCACCGATGATACTGTCTCTAATGATGACGATGGTTATTGTGAGCTTTTTTGAAGATCTCGATTTTAACTAGCACTCATGAATGGGATTTTGCAAAGTTCGACGATATTGGCAGAAATAAAATATATAAAATGTATTTTATATTCTTGCCGGACCTGAAAGATGTACTGGACATACAAGTACACTTTGAATGCACCTTTAATTGTGAAATCCAAATAGTGTTGGTTTGCATCATCCGGAAGGCGGTTTCATCCAGAGGCAGATATTTCATTAGGTCGTCACAATTCCGGAGCTACACTGGGCATACGTGTGGGCTCAGCACATGCTAGGCTTCAGTAAGATCATCGTTATAATACAGATGTAATTGTGGCATGAACATGGCTTCGATATCTTCGTTTTCCTCCTTCACCCCATTTTCTTCCAGAGTCTTGTACATATCCAAGACAACACCGTTGTACTTCCATGTGTAGGAAGCTGCGTGAGCGTTAAATGGCAAATAACGTGCCAGAATGTCCACCAGGTTTTCCTCCACGCAAACCTGGTGCGGAAACAAGAGAATGGGGCACATAATACATAAAGAACAGGATGTGTAATCGAACTCAGGATGAAGAGACGAGCTCAGTCTATTAGTATGAAAAGTTGGAATGTGACTAAAGATATCCAGACATCCATGGGTGTATGCAGAAGTGTAGGCACGTAGAATGCATGCGGCTTATTGGCACTGGTGCAGCCACCAGCTGCCATTTTGCTCATCTCTACGCACTAATGACGGTCTTGTTGGACTAAAGTCGATTTCTACATAGATTTTTTGTCAGCGCAGCGAAAGAGCTGCAATAAGTACTCTGAAGTGAGCAAATACATTCCCAAATGCCAGTAGAAGCCCTGAATCCGATGGGCTTTGACATGCGGTACTGCCACAAACCAACAAATATTGTTATCATATTAGTATCGGTATGAGATGCATCCGCAGTGCTAAGTGTCAAAGAAAAATTGGGCAAAAATCTAATTATCTGTTGCGTTGAGGATTTTATCCTTCAGAAAAATCAATTCTATGCTGAAAGAGTCAGAAGTACGTTACGTCTTTTTTATACTTTTTGGGAAGCTTTTGCACGGTGCATCTCCCAGAAGTAATCAAAAGGAATTCGTCGGTCAGCTGGCCCATCAATACCACATCACTCTAACTGAGGAACAGTGGCTTATTGCTGCACCTCATTGCAGTCGAATTAAACTCTTGATTGGTTATTCGTGTCCGGACAATGGGCCGCAGTTTCGTGTTTACCTTGTAGGTCAAGCGATACGCACTGTTACTGGCCTCTGGTAAGTTTTACATCATTCTTTGGCCATTTGGGTGAGAAGTAATCTATCGCTACTCTAAAATTCCTCTCATAACTCTGTGAATGTGAATGTAATCTGCCGATCACGGCAGTTTGCATAATTTCTAAGCAATGTTACCAACCATGGTTTGGAACTATTATGATAGATTATGATTGTATTGCAAAGAAGCAGTAATACTGTTGCTGTCATTGATGGTGATGATGGCGATTTTACCATAATTTAACCACTGGGTAAAACCTACGTGTTTCAGTGATACTTAACAATCTTGGAGAACTTAACACAACATCTGTCCACTTTGATCGAAGGTATGCGACCCACATGTCCTTTTAAATGCAGGTTAGTATCACCCTTACACGATTCTTTGGCATAGCTAACAGTGTACAACTTTGCACTATTTCGGTGCATACCGGGCACCTGTGCACTCCCGGCTAGCAACAGATAAGTGCGCGAAAAACGTGACTGACAGAAACCTACTTAGTGCCCAAAACAAGTGAATGCGTATGATTTTAATATGATGAAAAAACCACCCTTAATCGATTGTTTCTTCATATCAGAATTGAGTGTGATTACTGTTGACCAAATGGTGACAGAATTGACGAGCAGTTCACACGATCCAGCAAAATGGGATGTTCAATCCGGTGTTTATTAACAGCGCCCTTTTTGCTTCAGCTAATTTGCTGTTTTCACCTCGCCTACTATGTATGTTAGTCACCCTGTGGTCATCAGAGTCATATCACTTACGTGTGCATGGCATGCGCAGTGCCTCACGGTGGCCTGGTTGAAACTTACTACCTCATTATGTGGAGGAATTTTGATTGGAGCTATGCTGTTCCACAAAAGTCTTCCATAGTCAAGCAAACACTGTTTTGCATTGGATGGTGTGTGACACTCATAACTACGGATTTAACTGAGATGTTATCACGCCCCTTAATTAACATCACCATTTCCAGTCTGCTACCTGTTTTTGTGCCAAACGTCGAGTAATTTTCAATTACATCCTTCTGGGCAGTCCACATTAATCAGTTATCCGTTTCAAGATTTGACCAAGGGGGGCTTTTTTCGTTTCATCAACCTGTTTTCTTAATTTCAAAGCATCCTTACAAGACATGAACCCAGGTGACGTAAGCCACTGTCAAGGGCAAAAGCAGTGTCCACTGATCCGTCCGGTTGAGCCGCGAACGGAGCCAAATAAATGTCTACCCTCAGTGTTGTTTAAGTGAGTTGGCTGGCTTTGAGTGTTATAAACAGTAATCTGCGAATTGAAATATTCAGGTACCAGGTTACCTTACTAACCTGCAGACTTCATTGCCACATGCTTACAATTCATAGTCATGAAGCTTCACTGTCTCTAAGATGCACTCAGGCAATCGTATCATTTTTCCATTCCGATGTATTCGAGACCGTTAATCTGGTAGATTCCAGTGCACACATCTACAAAAGGAACTCTTCAAACCAGACGAAGTCCTCCCGAGTATATAAACTTTGAACCAAACGATGTGGAATCCGGCTGTTTTCTATACAACTGCTGAGTAATGAAATCAGACTCTTTGGTTTTTAATGAAATACGTTACTCATAAGTTTGCTGCAAATACTTCAGCAGACTGGGATCGGTATTCCCTTCTTGGGGATAATCAGGTAGACGCAGCCCCCGAGTTTCACTCAACCTTATGTACTGTTTTCACCCTCCTTGGATGCTATTTCCAAAGTGTACTCAATTACAAATAAATACGCTTTTAACGAGGGATCCAAGAGAAACCCAACTTAATCCTTTGTCTATGAAGGTCACCCATGAAAGCTGCTGCACGGGATCCATCTCATGCTTTAGTTGCTATGATATCTGAGATATCGAGGCGTATTTTATCTTCACATGAGTGTATTTTGTCCACTTTGTCAGATCTCCTTCTGTACACAGCATCCGGCTATTTTCGAAGTTTCTGCTCCACTCCACCAAGTAAAGTGCAACTGCATGTTGGAGCAATGATGGACAGTGCACTGTAGAGTACCATTCATGGTCGTTTTAGAAGAATTTGTTACGATCAAACCTCAAGTGTTCCACATGATGAAGCATGACGCTATTCTCTTTCCATCTTGCAAAAAACTACAAAATCATGTTTAATTACTCTGGAAAACGTTAAAAACATAATTGCTTGCATTAAGCTAAGTACCATGTTCACTTTATGCCACAGTTTGACACATTAAAGCGTGTCATGCTATGTAATCGCAATGGGGATGACATTTTACCTCCTAACTGGAGTTCTTTTTATAAGTCTGCGCTATTTTTCAAGAGTATCAGTTTCACAGCTTTGCCAACTAGTCTTACTTCTCCGGAGATTGTAAACTGCTTTAAGTTTTTGGGGTGCAGCATTTCCAAGATCAGTGTCCTGCTGTAAGAAACTTCGGAATTAAACATTGTTTGAATTTGTGTTAGTTGGATGACCCTTCGTTCTTTGAAGCTGAGAATGCCCGTTGGCACTGTGTGCGAAATGAACCAAACAGCTGGTGGTTTTGGATACGTGATCTGTTGTACACGAGGACCCGATTTCAGTTTACAGAGAGTAGGAAGTGTTGGTTGGACAGTGGCAAACTTTATGCATACGATTGATCATTGGATGATTTACTCCATCTTAAGAGGCGATTTCACATTTCTCTCTCAATCAGTTTGAACATAATGGAAACGGTTTTATGAGTAAACGTCAGAACCACAAACTGATGATAAAAATGTGGTAAAAAAAACGTTTGTAAAACTCCAAATGCACTTCTCAATTAAAAAGGGAACGCTTACCTCGATTTCATTTTCTTTTAGCGCTAGCGTGTTAATTATGCGCACAAACCTCGTCCTTTTTGTCAAGTATCCTATCAAATATTTTTCATCTTTCCACCATGGAGTACCAAAGTCCGTTGCCCAATCGGTTGTGGGGTAAGGTGGTGGTATGTGAACGAAGCGACCATGAGGAGTGTAGGGCACCAAACAGTGTGTTTGTGGGTCTACATGATATCGGATATCTCCGGTACGTGGATCAAACCAGTGAGATATGTCTTTTCCCGCTTCGTTCAACAAAGGTCTCAAGAGAACATCCCCTGAAAATAAAGCATAGATTTCTGAATGCACATTATGCAATGTACAGACTGAACTGCAGTGACCAAGTTGGAGCAAACATTTACTAAGAATTCATGATAAACATCGTACAATTGAAAAAATTTGTTCCACTTGCTTGTGCGGTAAAGCATGAAGTAACGAGCCTTAAGGCATCTAGATGTTTTTTAGTAAGCAGGATTTGTTAACAGTACTTCATCCCTGATTCGTAGTAGTCTTCACCATAAGAGAGGACTACTGGGTTTACTACTGTAAACTATTATAGCTGCAATTGAGAACATCGGATTTGAGGTGGTCCACGGTGGCCACTGAAGTTGTAAGCAAAGCACCACTCTGATACCATAGGTTCTCAAAATGCACCCTACGACGTGGATAGCAGAATTTCGGCCATAGCGATAAAACCTTCAACAATGTTTCATCGTGAACCACATCAGAACAGTTGTGCACGTACTTGTCTGGTTTTTGAGGAATTTGGTTCGCGTCTTTCGCCTACTCAGGGCTTTGTTCAGCTTGGTTGTCTTCTTGTCGGAAATACTTTTAACGTCAGATATGAACTTCTAACGTTCATTGTGCGTTTAGATGTATGTCGCTTTAGTGAGATACGGTCGGGTCGGATGCGGTTTCTGCTTAATTGCCTCCTACACCGCGTTTGAGACAACCCTCAAGGAACTGAGAGGCGGTCTTCTTTACAAGCCTGGTTTTGAAGCCCAGTTAACCTTTTGGCTATCTTATCTTTGCAATCCCGTGTTTGGTGGAATACTCTAATGGTTGGAACGAAAACATAGTGACAAACATCAATGTATTCCAGACCTTATCGTCAGGTTGGTACTGTGTTCTTGTTCTGACCATGAGTATTCAAGCAAATTATTATAAAATGTATGTAGCAAAAGATATAAAAACGAGCATTTTCTTGTCCTGTCAAACTTTTTTCAAACAAGAACGCACATAATCCAATAAACACTGAGGTGCTTCAAAATGACTACAGTTGCAGTTTCGGTTTTCGGCTCTTCGCTTCTGAGCAAAATCACCGGATTTGAGCTTAAGTCCGGTAAGAGCTTATTCAGATTGCATATCCATGGTAGTGCTGGAATAGGGAATCCTCGCAGGCTGAACAAATGTGTAGCTATTCCTCTGCATTCAAATAATTCTGTTGTAATCACGGATTCTAAAATCATCTAAAAAATTAGATCTAATTGGGACATTTCCTGAAAATTCTGGTAGATCAGCTTAAACGCGCAGTTTGCTGAATTGCTCTTGTCAGTTGTTGTTGAATAAGCTGATCACGTTCACTTATCCTGACGTGATTCAAGCACGTCTTGCGTGTGTTGGTGGATTTGTCGTAGCATGTATGGTGGTGTATTCAGGATTAAAGTCTCCACATGGCCAGAGATGTGCTTCACCCATGGACACTCTTAAAAGAAAAGTTTAAATTCACTGCTTCCCCACTTTAATGTGGACCTACCATAGTAATATCCGGTGCAATCAAGATGGATATACTAACATCAGTCCACAAAAGGCTTAGCAGACGGGTTAAGAACACACAGATATGTGTGCATACAAACAACAACGTAAAAGTTGAACTCTGTATGGACTTATATCAGCAGACGAACTAGTTTCGGAGACTTTCAACAAAATGTTACCAGGGTATGCGGTCCTGTTAATTTTCATCAGTTTGCTTTATAGACCGTACCCGGAGGAGTTTCTTGTAAAATTTTAGCCACCATATATTTTCAGGGAATAACTTCGTGACGATGTGACAGTCCTGACCAAATGGGAATCAGAACATCCCCACAGCTGCTAGTATTTGGTAAAAAACAAACGTGCAGGTCAACTACATGCCCACAAAGCCAAAAATGTGCTGTTACAATATGGTCGATCAAGACCGTTGTCGCGCTGCATAGGCTTGGAGATCACAATTCAGGTCAGGAGTGAAAAAATCATCTAGCGAATGCGTTTTACAGTTGATGAGGATATTCTGCTTTTTCAAACCTTTGAATTGGTTTCGTCGTACCAAGAAAAAGTAGTCTAGGTGTGAGATGGTTAGTCGTGTGACTCTCTCAGATCCTGAATTAGCCGGAGTAATTGGAGCAGGAGTCATCATTCTAGGTCTCCGTTGGTTTCTCGACGCTCCTCGACCATTAGTGCCACAAAATGTCAAGTCAACTATTTTTCATTAGTAATTTCGTCAATACGCCTAAACTAACTGGCGTCTGTTCCAACGAATAAGTGGCTTTATTTGCCGTGACTACTTATCCTTTGTTAGTGGTGAAGAAAGAAAAATCTTTTTTGATGATGTGTGATAGATCTCCCTCGTTAATGGACGGGTTAAGAACACACAGATATGTGTGCATACAAACAACAACGTAAAAGTTGAACTCTGTATGGACTTATATCAGCAGACGAACTAGTTTCGGAGACTTTCAACAAAATGTTACCAGGGTATGCGGTCCTGTTAATTTTCATCAGTTTGCTTTATAGACCGTACCCGGAGGAGTTTCTTGTAAAATTTTAGAACGGGTTAAGAACACAAAAATATGTGTGCATATAAACAACAACGTAAAAGTTGAACTCCGTATGGACTTATATCAGCAGGCGAACTAGTTTGGGAGACTTTCAACAAAATGTCACCAGAGTATGTGGTGCTGTAAATTTTCATCAGTTTGCTTTATAGACCATACCCGGAGGAGTTTCTTGTAAAATTTTAGCCACCATATATTTTCAGGGAATAACTTCGTGACGATGTGACAGTGCTGACCAAACGGGAATCAGAACATCCCCACAGCTGCTAGTATTTGGTAAAAAACAAACGTGCAGGTCAACTACATGCCCACAAAGCCAAAAATGTGCTGTTACAATATGGTCGATCAAGACCGTTGTCGCGCTGCATAGGCTTGGAGATCACAATTCAGGTCAGGAGTGAAAAAATCATCTAGCGAATGCGTTTTACAGTTGATGAGGATATTCTGCTTTTTCAAACCTTTGAATTGGTTTCGTCGTACCAAGAAAAAGTAGTCTAGGTGTGAGATGGTTAGTCGTGTGACTCTCTCAGATCCTGAATTAGCCGGAGTAATTGGAGCAGGAGTCATCATTCTAGGTCTCCGTTGGTTTCTCGACGCTCCTCGACCATTAGTGCCACAAAATGTCAAGTCAACTGTTTTTTATTAGTAATTTCGTCAATACGCCTAAACTAACTGGCGTCTGTTCCAACGAATAAGTGGCTTTATTTGCCGTGACTACTTATCCTTTGTTAGTGGTGAAGAAAGAAAAATCTTTTTTGATGATGTGTGATAGATCTCCCTCGTTAATGTGAACAGTTCAGGTGAGTAAACAGCTGATTTTAGACAATTCATTCAATTTACGTGGATTTAAGTTTAAAACATCCTCATCCTGGTGAGCAGATGATCACTGATGACAGGAGCAGGCTTATTTGCGAGCGTGGAAAAGTAGAGTTATTTCGTGCATGAATTCACGCTAATCACACACTTTAGCGTATACTACTTTTCTAACGCTCTAAGTTCCGAAGTCAGAGGACTTTAGTTGGTTAGCTTTATAAATGCAGTTTATTATCACCTACCTGCTAAATAAGGCGACAGCTGGATCATGCCTTACTCTAACGCTATTCGACCTGTTAGATCTATTAGACTTGAATCAACGCACGTAAAATTAATTAAGCCAACCTGATTCAGACGAGAGCTGAAATGAGGTGTACACATTAGGATTCCACCACAGTTGTGTCGAACCAACTGGATTGTGTCAAGTAACCATTCTACTCTCTCGAAAACTGCATGACCCAGTGAGTTATACTGGAGAGTGTCTGTGTTGCAATGTCAGATTTCCTCATACAAGTATGACCACTGGTTAGAAATCTGACCGACACACTCTCCTTTGATGTAGGAATAGGTGCCGCGGATTGTTCCTTAAAAATTGCAGTGCACTGACTTTTCCCTCCAAACACTACCACCCTGGGGTCAGAATTTTGAGACAAAGTCTGGGGGTTTAAACATCTTGTTTGGGTCTGGCCTGCATCGCATTGTCATGATCTTTATACAGTCAAGATTCCTGCCACCAGAAATTTTGTTATGCATATATTTAGCTTCGCGGTGTTCCATCAGACAAATCACCTTACATTCTGAATACACTGTGGCACGTAGGCAAAAACAGACTACTAATGGCGCCCTCTTCCTTTCTAATTCACACGCTCCATCTCACTTCCTCGTACGCTGTTAGTTTACCCCTCTTATTAGGCCATATTTTTGCGATGGACGACCTAAAGCATTCCGCACAGTCTTGGCCGCAACATTTGCTTTTCATCCGGCACTGATAGACTGAGGTATCTTGGACTCAGTCTTCAAGCCTTAACGACCGTTCAATCTTGCTGCTTCTAAAGTTCACGCTATGAATAAGGCAGGACAACAAGTAGCTTGTGCTTACACCCTTAACTCGGTTTACATTTCCACCTGCTGCACATTAGAAACAAGAATACATATTGCATGCAAGCTAAGTACTCCATCACTCTTCACCAAATTTCGGCAAAGTACCTTTGGCAACCCATAGGCCAAAGTGGCGGGATGTATAGAGATCAGCATTGACCTAAGTCACTAACAGAGGGAACCTTGAACCTTGGAAACATTTTCCGCAGATCATGAACATAATCCAGCCCGACTAATTATCGAGAGTCAAATCTAAACCAGCGTTTGCAACAAATAGCAGGCCGGATTGACACGGAACGCTAAGAAAATGTAAGCGGAACAGACATATGGCAACATTTGAAGTATTTATTTGATCCTCTTAACCACTCCCAGAAACCTCGTGTGAATAAACCACTCAAGGATCAAAACTGGATGACCATCTTAAATAAAGAAGGACCCTTTGTTCGCCAGGCCAAGCATGTTAAGCTCAAATTATTATGGCCGAATGATATCACTTGGTCTAATGATTAACATAATTAGAAGGCCAAATGGCAAAACTGGACCGCTTTGTGACACCAGAGGTTTATTATTACATATTTTCTCTCAAGCACTACTGCGCACTTAGTACTGATTACCTTCCACACGCATTGTTTAGGGCTTGGTTGAAGGGGTCAGTCAGCATGTATCTGTTCTGTTTGCTTACATCTTGAAAAAAACACCGCCCAACGACGAGACCCTTGATGCGGATTGCGTTTCGTTTCTTTAAGGTGGTTAATGAAGCACTGGTTCAAGAAAACCTTCTTTCCCTCACGCAAATTACACTGGTTCCGACTGTACTGTGAAAAATGATGTCAGCGCACGAATTTCAGGGGCTTCGGTCATGCTTGGTAGTTTGAAATACCTACAGCGGCGAGGTAGCATATTTCTAAATATCAGATGACTTGCGTATCAGGCTACAGTAAGTGCTTTTTTGTTGTATGGTTGGGATGTGTGGTCGATTCCGGCAGTGGAATTGAGATACCTTCAGGTCTTTGACAAGCGTTGTGTCGGAGTCAGATCTCACTAAGCTGATGCCAGCAAATTAGCAAACAGCCGTTAAAAAAGTGTTTGGTTGGGAAACAAAAGCTCCAACGAAATGACATGTCAAGTGCAAACAATGCTGTGTTTGTTTGTTTTGCCTATCATATTTTTTTTCCTTTTCATATGATCCTTAGCAATACCCCGTCCAAAATGGCGGGGATTCATGCCAACCTACACTCAATGCCTACCGTAAAAGTGCCGGGTTTAAATGTGAATGATTATTCTTTCGAATTCATCCTTGGAAAAGTAGCTATTACCCAAAGTAGTTTTAAAAGTAGAAACTATATCAAAACTTTGAAAAACTTATTGCATTTTTAAACCAGTATAACTTCAATGTAGCTGAATTGCCGCCACTTAAATACTGCCGGGGTAAACGCTCAGAAACTTTTGTTTAAATGCAATTTCCAGTAGCACAACATCATCAACATGAAAAGCGGTTAAATGCAAATTATCGAGCCTCAACAAGGAATAAGAATTTTTTGAAGGGTTTTCCCTCCATTTTAAAAATTTTGGCTGTTGATTTTGTCTATTAAGAGACTCATCGTTCGTTGTTTGGCACGGTTAAGCATTTTACTGCAATCAACAAATATTATGTCAACAGTGGTTCTGAATTTGATTGGCTTGTTTAATTTACAAGCCCATCAAATTTCGGCGACACAGCAAAGAAATTTGCAAATTTATGTTATTCATCCAATCAGCTTTTATTTCTATTGATACGTTGAACTTCGTATAAATAACCTATCATTTTGTTATCCGTCTTACAAGAATCAGTAGCCTAATTTGCCACCGCCAGTGGGATCAAGTCTGCCACGGCCTGTGCAAAAGCATTCGACAGCAATCACCTTCCATTCTAATAAAAAAGTTCATTGATGGCATGTTAAAGTTGTTAACTCTGAGTGCTGCGTGCTCAACGGATTTGGTACGTTTTGCCGAGGCGCTTTATAAACAAACATTCGCTAAATGTCTAATAAAAAAGTTCATTGATGACATGTTAAAATTGTTAACTCTGGGTGCTGCGTGCTCAACGGACTTGGTACGTTTTGCCAAGGCGCTTTATAAACAAACATTCGCTAAATTATGCCTGGTACCGGGAGATACTTTCAAATAAAAATGCTTCTTTTTGGAAAGACCTAGATTTGACTTTCAAACCTATTGGAAAATTCAACAAACGCACAATAAAGCACTTGTCTAACGAATTAGAATTTCCGGCCAATCTGATCGACGCTAATGCTGCATTTTGTGGTCAAATTCCACGCTGATTTAGCGGTTACATCTTTAACCGGCATTTCTTTAAATTGCTGCACCCAATCATAGTTTAGGAATGTACTATTTTTCATGTTTTGTGTACCGCCGCTGATCACGATGGTGGGTCTGCAAGATCCATTACAAAGACTAAAAATGTCAAATGGCTTTTCAGTCACTCCCTGATGGTGTTTGTAAGTCGCCAGTGTTTTTGCCGGACAAAATTATGGTCCCAAAAATTCTAAACTTAACTTCTTACATGGTTTTACTTATTTGTGTGTGACAAGTTTTGAAAATCAGCATGCGATTTTTGATAATTTTTCGAAGACTATTGGGTCTGTAAAAAGCGCTAATTTTCAGCCGGGCGGGGCTTGGTTATCTGATTAAAGTATTAAAATTTAATTAAAGTTGAAGTAATAAAATTACAAGCCAAAGTGTAGCATGACAACCTAAACAATTGTATAAAGTTGCACTCTAAGAGCGGAAAAATCGTTACGATTGCACAACTCTCAAACCCTCTGCGTGGTTACACTTACAGAGAAAGTCAGTACTGTCCTTGTGAGTCGTCAGGGGGCCGTGATTCAGAAGCACACAGAATAACTGTGCTATAGTTTTTTCTCTGTTACCGCGTAGATAACCGTAAATAAACACAAAGTCCGACCACAATGCCATCATTTCCATAATGTCCTTATACAGTGTAATTTAGCGACATCTTGATTCGTTTTGTCGGTCGGAAATTCAGAGCTACAGAAAAAAGCTTTTTATTTTAGAATGAGTGTCTTTTTCTTTTAGCAAAAATGCTTATAAGACAAAAAAGCAAGTATAGCAAATGTGCTTTTATTCCGAATTTGTTGCCACACAAGGAAGATGACAAAATAAGTATTTTCACCTTCCATTTTTTATCTCAAACTAAACCTAGGTCATTTTGACTAGTCTTTGTAAGCCCGCTCATTATTTTCCCCTTTAATGCATTTACCTTTTGGCTTACAATACATCGGGAGAGTTTTTTGAACCAAGTTCAATCTTCTACTTGGATAATACAGGCTGGATTTCTTTTTAAAGCAGGAAATCAAGGCAGCGTCGCACAAATTTACCACGTTTTTGGTTTCCCTTAAAATTAGTTCGTTCCCGTAAAATTAAGGAGCAGGCACTACAAATCTCATGTACAAAGAGAAACTCCGTTGCAGTCATATAAAATCGCAGAAACTATACTTAGCGTCGTTCTTTCAAAATGACTCCTCCCTGGTTAACCTGAAATTTCTGCCCAACTTTCGAATAAATTTTATCAACCAACCATATTCTCAAGAACTTCAAATTTGTAAATGAAAATGTTGAATTTTGCAGATTAGGATCTCTCATATCACCCCAAACTTCAACTTTCCCTTTTTGAATGAAGCACATGAACCCAATTTTTCTGTCTAATTACCGTCGCTTTTTAGAACCCGGTCTATACCGAACGAGGTCTGTAGGATAAAACCGATTATGAACTGCAGTATCACTTTCAGTTTGTGGGGATCGCTTGGCCAAGTTTGAAGGATGTTCAAAGACGGTATTCTGACCGGTTTCATATTATTTTATCCATCTTGCTGGTGAAAGACTGTATAACTGACATCGTTGTTCGTGTGCAATATAACAAAGGACTGAAAGACACTGGTTGGTTTAGAACTTCTGAAACATGTTGCTTTTGCTACCGCTGAAGCTGAGCTTTGTGAGCACCGACTATGATGACTAACATCATCGCCATGAAAAAGCGATACAATAGGTTTTGTATCCAGGTACACAATGGAGGTGAAAAATTCAACTAAAACTTAGTCCGGCGAGTAGTGCAATCTGATCTTTATTCCGTGTAAGGCATAACTCTTACATGTACAGGGAACAAGGCTAAACCGTGTGTATGCATGCCTTCAAGAAGCCCAATCCAGTTTACAAACAATCCAGGTTTCCTCAACTCCAGCACTTCTTACGTGTCACCTGTTGATTAAAACATGGTAATTCAGTTGTCGACAAACGTATATTGGTGTCGTACTGCGTACTCCAGCACTCTTACGTGTCACCTGTTGATTAAAACATGGTAATTCAGTTGTCGACAAACGTATATTGGTGTCGTACTGCGTGAAAATACTCGGGACGGTAAAACTTCCACTCGCTGAGGTGTGTTTTGAACAATGAGAATAGCACCTACAGAGTTGATATATTGCACAAAAATGCTCCATAGCAATGCATTTCAATCCCAGCGGTATCATTGAGTCAGACGTGTAAGTCCAAAGGATTCAATTTCAGAAATAGAGTCAGACAGATGAAGCAGAAAAAGTATATAATACAAAGTTTGGAAATTATTCTCGATGTTATGTGATAATGTGTCAGAAGAGGTCAATATTTAGTGGTAATGCGCATAGCAAATTTTGTGTGTAAAAGGTCCAATGTGATCGCGATTTTAGTGATCAAATTCTCACCTTTATGCTGTGCACATAAGGGAGTAAAGTCGTAAACTTTACCCAAGAATGATACCCAACAGTCTTGGGCGTTATCATGAAGAATTATATCCTTTGGCGTGTAATATCGCTTTTTTGTTCTCATTCTCCACGCTTTAAAAAGCCGCGCCTCTGTCACCACAGTATTTCTTCAAGGTCAAGTTGTGAATTAAGTCGATAGGTTCTCCACTTATTTTGGAGGCCAACGCACCACTCAAAAGTAGAATGCCGTCAGATGTCCTGTACGTATAAACTGAATGCGAGATAATTCATCGAAAAAAGTTAACTGTTGGCTTCCAGGTGAGACATGCTTGATTGTTCGCAAGCACACGTGAGTACATGCCATTTGATCCACGTTTGCTGAGTTAAAGAATACTTTCTAATGGGTGGAACGAAATGATGATTGTCTATTGTCGAGGTGGAACGCTTTCCGTGGAGGTCAGCTACAGGAGTGATATGCAGCGGTACTTCCTAATTCTGCTGCGTTTTGCACACGTACCGGAAACCAGATGAGTCACCAAAACAAGCCCAAGATATGACGTGGGCTTTTTCAGTGGTTGATAAGTTGCTGCTTGTCGCTGCTTGCAAGCACTTCCTTTGTCGTTTCCCACCCGTCTTCTTTAGGGCAAAAGATGGGGATTGGCATAACCAAACCGCTGTTCAAAGTACTGCTTAGGTTAGTCTCAGTGCCCCAAAAGGGGCTGTAGTCCAATGGGTAAACATCAATACCTTCTAGGTTCCACATTGAAGAACTGAATTTAATGGAAAATGGGTGGGCATTACTCAAGTTTAGGTTCGATTGATGTGGTTCTTGGCTTCGTTAAACAATAGTGTCTGCATTTGCCACCAAAAGTCGCCTGTACGGTTGAAGTCAGGACCATGCTTCTCGGTGTTAATGTGACTCGTATTACTCGGGATGAGGAAGATTGCTTCGTTGTCCAAACCCCAGTACCTCTTCACAGTGAACGGCAACACGCTGTTGTCGTTCGTTCAACTTGGCTATGTAGGCCACCAAAAGATCCAGATCCGGATAATTGTCAGGTACTCTCATGAAAACTGCCAGCGCATAGGGTGGAGGGTTCTAATACCTCGGTAGGTCATCAAGGCAACAAAATGAGTGAAAATGGTCCAACAACCGAACCTGATGAGAGCCCGCCAGCGCACAGTTAATGTCCAACAGATTTCCAGTTAGAAGTCATGAAACTTTCACTTATTACTCTCTAAGATGACCTCAGTAATAATGAAGCAAGGCAAATGGGTCGATGGATAGATGGATTGAACACTGTTCACTTTGTGAACGAGCTCGTTGGAGGCTGTGTCCAAGTTTTATTTCTCCGAGATCTCACCGTTTAAAGGGCCCTTTGTTAAGGCAGTGGTCGAGGTAAACATTGTCCATAATGTTGATTGTGCCACATCACTTTAATATATGTGAACATACCCAGACGTTTCAAGTGTACCCCAAGTTTGCCGTTGAATAAACTTGTCCGTAATTCCGTTTTCCGACACTTACCAGCTTGTCAATTTTCGGCCGTAGGTAACTGAAAAAAGCCCTCCGGGTCCTCGCAACTTTATTTTAGGGTCGGATTTTACACTGTACCCTCCAGCAACTGCGGCGAAATCAGTGCTCTATACAGGGGATTACAAGTAGTTCTCTTGGGCGCTTCCATGCTCATTGCTGTTCATTACTGCCGCTTTTGGCAACTACAGTTTTTAACTGAACGAATCGGTCAGGTGATATCCCAGGGCTGTTTCCGTACACTCGGTCCATCCAACGCATTCTCCGAAACCCCGTGTGATAGTGAGCCACGCAATAAACATGGAACCTTCGTGGAGTGTGACTTTCCCGGGCTTGCACTCGAGCACTGCCCACAAAGATCAGCTCATTTTCTGGGAGCACTGGCCCAAAATTTCCACAAATTCTTTTACCTTCACTTAATGAGTGATGGAACAGGCAGTTGTCCACTCTATCTTGAACGTCTCAGTTTTCCGGCGATGAGAGGTCTTCCAACAGAAAGGACGGTTTATGCTATTCAGCCTGTTTCACGGGGGAAAACGTCTCCAACCAGCAACACTACGCTTGCGCAGTGCTAACCGTATCGTATGTTCATAGACCTGAATACTCCGCCTCTTACGACGATCGTTCTGAGGGCTTCACCATTTCTTATGTTTAATTTGTCAGGACGGAGAGATAGAATTGAGTGTGGTACTGGTCTCGGGGCTCCGATGACGGAACTAGAGTCGAACATTATGTACGAGTGCGTGTGTAGTTGAGGCAAACAAGCGGGTTATTCCAGGTAAAGATGTTTTGGATGCAGTGTCGTGCAACATCCGAAAACTGGATGTCCGTGGGTAACTACACATCTCACTATTCAACAGATGGGGCCATGGCGAACCAAAAAATAGCCTTCTTCGTTTTTGGAACGCAAAACACTGTATGTATTCTATAAAAAAATATTTAAAAGCCGAAAGCGTCACACTGAGAGTAGCGCTTGCCCTTTCACTACTTTCACTTCACTCAATCCGGTATGTAGCATGAGCTTCAGCGTAAATACTCCGTTGATAAATCAATGCTGCATCACGTGGCAGTCGCAACAATAACCTAGAAGTAGTTTACTGGTTCATGATCATGCGTGCCATGTCGTGGGGCCTATCTATAGTTATTTGTGTTTTATTACTGTTACCCACGAGCTCTATAAAAAAATATTTGAAAGCCGAAAGCGTCACACTGAGAGTAGCGCTTGCCCTTTCACTACTTTCACTTCACTCAATCCGGTATGTAGCATGAGCTTCAGCGTAAATACTCCGTTGATAAATCAGTGCTGCATCACGTGGCAGTCGCAACAATAACCTAGAAATAGTTTACTGGTTCATGATCATGCGTGCCATGTCGTGGGCCTGTCTATAGTTATTTGTGTTTTATTACTGTCACCCACGAGCATCCATGAAGAAAAGCTTCCCGAGCGTTAAAAGGAGGGCGTTCACATCTGACCACTTATTGTCTGGTTGGTTGGTCATCCCGATATCGCTTTTAACAGCTCCACGAATGAAGTTTCAGTGGTGGTTGGGGTTGCATCAGCTAGACCTGTCAAGACATTGTGCCGAGGACGAACGCCCACACACTATTAGCCAAGGGAGTTTAGCATCATGTTCCACAGCCACCAAGTTTATCTTCGGCTCAATTCCCCATCATGCTATTGTGCTTCTTCTAAAGACTGCGGATGAGCTCACAGATTGGTTCACAACTTCTTATCTTTATTTGCAAAAAGAAAACAAACCAAAGATTTCGCTACTGAAAGGAATAGATGAGGTTGCCAATGTGACATTACATACTATCATCGAGTATCCGGGCCTTGTCAGTCGCCTTAAAGTCTATGCGCATGAGTTCAATCTTACCGTTCTATTTAGACCAGTTGAAAACGGAAAGCTTTCATCGTGATTTTGACGATGTGGGCGGCAGCCGTAAGCCTGTTTCTACATCCTTAAACGCCGCAAGGCCACGAAATAACATGGCCATGTGTATAAGTAAACCTACGGGTCCGCCCCAGAAGCTGCATGTGTCTTCAAACCGTAGTGCGGCACAAAAGTCACTGACAATAACATCAACGGATGACTTCGACCAACAGGAGTATGTCTGCGGTATTGTGTATCAAATACGTTTCAGTCCATCTGCAGCCCCGTGCATGATCTGTGTTGTGAATGTTCCACAAACGGACATGGGAGCGAGGTGGCAAACTTGAATTAAAAAACTAAGCTTGCGGTTATTTTGAGTGGTAAGTTAGAATGATCTGATGATATAAGCTCACTCACAGGTTCAAACTGTCTCATATCCAGAGCCATTTATTGTTTATATTGTATCATTCCGCGGAGGATTTCATTGGATTGGATTAGATCAGGTAGCTGCAGTTAAAGCCCGCGGCGCTTGCCCAAAAGCCCTCTACGGCTAATGCGCACACATGTTTTTGCACACTCAATTATCCACCAAAGCCATGGCGGCGGTGAACCAACCAGCATAGCGAAACAATTGATCGAACGCTCGATGTGTGTCGTGCGTGCCATGAGGTTTACGAAACCTAAAAATAATGTTAACTCTAAAATTTTCAGTGGCATGCCGTCACTTAAGACCGTAATAGTACAGCCAGGATGAAGGCACTACCACATTTCCTTCCATAATGCAAAAGTTAATGTGGAATGCCCCATTCTGCTGCCTGTTTCGACGACCTAATCGTTACGGGCTACGGCTTTGGAATTTGTTCATTGCTCTGTGGTTATACTCACGCCAGCAATACACACCTAACTGGAGTATCAGTGCACCTACTGGATAATTGTGAAGAAATCTAAATGAAAGTTACGGGAACTGGTGCTTGAAAAGAATGATGCGGTCCATTATATATGCGATAGCTGCTTCTGTGCTTAGTAGAAAAGGCCCGGCTGACGAAAAGTTTTGGGTTGCCTTGGGTACGCTGACTCAACGGTGCAACTCCCGGAGGCTTGCACTGTGAGCTATTGAGACCGGGGATGTGCCCGAATCTCTTTTGCTTAGCTACTGAAGCCCCTTCGTCAGGAATGTGGCAGTTGGACTCCATAAGTCACCGCAACTGTGTTCCACGGATCCCGCTAAAAGTGCGTTTTTTAAGTGCATAAATTTGAAGTGCGCTTTCTGATAAGGGTAGCTAAACATTGATGACGGTCTTCGCTTCCGCCGGAATAATAGCAGTGTGTCTGTGCGAGCCGCGAATGCCAAGCTTAAGGCGCACACCCAGAATTTCCCTGAAGATTTATTTCGGAGGAGAGAAAATTTACTATGAGTATTTTTAACTGGATGGTATTTATTTGAACCCTCGATATGCGCCCACGGTCACAGTTTTGTTAGAATTTATTTCACTGTATTCGAGGTCCACAATGGGTGCGGAATTTAGTGGTTTTGCATGAGGTCCCCGTGATGTTACTGTAAAGTTTAGCGGAAGAGCCGGTTTCTTCAGGTTTTTTCTTCTGTATTGGACATCGGAATACTTTCAAGACTACATGGACGACAACTGCGTTCTGTGCATCGATGCAAATTCAACATGAAGCAGTCACTCGCGACCTGTATAGGAATGTTTCCTATGGTTGCCGCAAGCGTTAGGCCAAACAATACTAAGGCAGTGATCACAACCACTATCTTTTATGATGGGCAGCACACGCTATATCAGATGCGCGCCAAGTTTTTTCTTCACCATTATACTGAACCTCTAACAGTGCGATTGTAAGAATTAGTTGGGTGATGGGCAAAACTATCAGACAGATCAACAGAATAGTCAGCGTTTCTAAGCTCTGGCAAAAATTCAACGGATTGGGACGGTTTGTGGACCTGTGTAACAGCCCTATATTGTGTCTAGTGTGTAACAACGTTGTTAGCAATCCTCCCGCAACTCCCAGTTTTTGTGCTGGTAGTGTCTTTGTAACACAGGCCCGGTCTCATTAGAAAGCCACCAGCTGTTATCTGCGATCCATCAACACGTCCAGTTTGAATGGTTCTCCAGTGACATAGGTCCGAATTTCAGAGCTCCGTCCAGAAAAATTACCGGTTTATTCTATTTGAGATCAGCTTAAAATGGAACGCAGTTGGTTCGCAGGAAACTCTCTGGGCTTACTTAGGCGAATGATCCTTCAGGCTAATGTCAGGAGTAATTCGCTGATTCAGATCCCACGTCACGGAACGCATGAAATCTCTCGCGAGGTAATTGTGTTGACCGGTACCCATAAGCGCAGCATACAACAAGAAGTTTTGGGATAATTGTATCCATTTTTATGGCCACTCGAGTCCTCTTGAAGATGACCAATTCTTCTTACGAACCCTTGATTAATCTCCCCCCGACAGCCACATCACTCATCTCCAGTTGGTAGGTAATATTATCGCCACAGTGACATCCTAGATGGAGGCTCAGCCAGTCGGATTGAGTGTGCATTTTGCAGCGACACTGACCGAAGTCATTAAACAGAGCGCTCGGGCTCAACATGTCATTGCATCCAACAGATACTGCGCAGGCCAACTACCATCCCTCCTGGATTAGATCATCCACAACGAAAGACACTTTGTTGATCATATGATGAATAAAGCTTTGCTGAGACACAGTAAACACCGACCCGCAGTTCCATCTCTTACTGGACCGGAAATCCCGAACCTCAAGTGTGGATTCGAAACTTCTGCCGTGCAGACTTTTCAGAAACGCGCATCTTTCTTGAACAAGTTGTACTGCGACTAGCCCCACTTAAATACGACCAATGTCCAGAAAGTTCACGAGGCTGACACGATGTTTGTCCCAAAAAAGCAGCACGCAATCGAATGAGCGGCAAGCTACCTAAAAGGACTCGGCGTTTTCCATAAAAGAGGTCTCAACTTTTTTTCAGAAAGTTGACTGCAGCAGACACTGAAGACGAGCTGGTATTTCCTAACATACGGAACCGCTGCAAATAGGGAATTCCTCAAGGGAACACACGAATACAAACCACTATTTTAAACCTCGCCCTGAAAAAATCATAAACGTGCTATTCAAATACATGAGACCTCAGAAACCACAGAAACATGAGGCCACAGAAACAAGCCATCCGCGCTCTCCTTGAAAGAAAAGAAAGTAGAACCCATGGGTGACACAACAATGGTTACTGAAGTCTACAGAGTAAACCATCCAGCTCTATGCTCAGCCCCAGCGTCCTCCTACATCCAAACTTGCCAAGGCGTAAATACGAACAGCCTCTAACTAACTTGGTCTTCACGGTGGAGGACATTCGTCAACTCTTGCACAAGATCAATCCATTCTGCGCGTCGGGGGTCGATGGGGTCCATCCAAGGATCCTAAAAGAAAACGTCGTCTACACTGGCAAATCATTTCTACCTGGTGTTTCGTCAGTCGCTTGGTGAAGACCGCCTCCCCATGCTTGGAAGAAAGGTATTGTCACGTCAATCTACAAAACCGGTGACCTACTATCGCACGGCAATTACAGGCCTATAAGCCTCACTAGCGTGCCATGCAAAGTGATGGAACGTGTTCCGAAGCAAGCTATCCTAGGTCACCTTACTACCAAAAATTTGATATCTCCAGCTCGACACGGATCTTTCCCAAACGGTTCTTCGTTACAAAGGTGCTTGTGCTTATGGATAGCCCGAGCCAGGCCAAGGAGGAATCACATCGGATGCCATATTTCTCGACCTCTCAAAAGCATTTGATATGGTCCCACACGTCCGGCTGCTCCACAAACTCGAGTCTCATGTGATTCATGGGAAAATCCCTCACTGGATCGAGGCGTTCCTAACATACAGATCATTACTAGGCAATAGGCTCGACCTACTTTTCTCCAGCGCCGGTCTCCATTAGAGTTCCCCAAGGCTCAGTCCTGGGACCACTGCTGTTTCTGGTCTACGTCAACGACCTTCCAGATGTTCTTGCAAGTCCATGTCTACGACTTAAAATCCAAGATTTCCGATGCCAGTGCCTTCCAAATGGATGTAGACGCTGCAAAGCACCTTTCTGTGAATGACGAAAAGTGCGTCCGTGTCATTTGGAAGTGACTCGGTGAATGCCTTTGTCATGCACGGTGAGAAAGGAACGGAAGACATCATGGCGATAGACGCCAAAGAGGGCTCGGGTATCTGGCTCTCTTTGGACATATCCTTCTCACTGCACCATGAGAAATCGGCCCAAAACGCATTCGCCGTTTTATGATTCGGCGCACCTCGCGTGGATTCCAAATACTCTATGCGGCCGTCAGACCGCTCGTTGAATATGCCAACCAAGTTGTCTTCTGAAGACGCACGAAAGACGTAACCCGCACTGATTGTGTCCAGCGAAGTGCCACGAAACTGGTCACCAGCCTCAAATACGTGGACTAAGAAACGCGGTGGTTGACCTCTTTCCCCTAGAGCATTGTCGCCTCTGATGGGACCTAATTCTGACTTTTGCCCTGTCTGAACAAGACTTGGCCACCAGGTTTTTCACCGTTTAATCAGCAAACACAGCGGGCACATGGCAAGATCTTCAAGCTCACAGCTCAGGCAAAAATTTTTTATTGCGTGGAATAACCTTCCTTCGACAGTTGTCCACGCTCCTTCTAGAACCCAGTTCAAAGCACTACTAGAGAGTTGTTTACGCAAACCCTCACGCTGTCAAGCATACTGCCTTGCTCTGAGAGCTTAGAGAGCAGTGCTACACCCTTTTTCACTTGTGCCCTTCAGCTGAACGACAGCCGCTGTAGGACAAGAACAAAATTGGCCCGGGAAACTTGGGCAAAAGCCTCGATCTTGTGTATCGATCCTTGAATGGGCAAATTCATAGCACATTCCCGGTGTCTAACACCAACTCTCAGTTCATTTTGGGCGCGGACATAGTCCGGGTATAGAATGAAGTAAAAAGAATTCTGAAATCAGTCTAGATCGGATCATTTCCTCCAGAGCTCCGCCTCAAGCAGAATAGAGCGAATGTCTTGCAAAGCTTCAAACCGAATGTATTCACCGACCGCAAACCGAAATCTAACCGGCTTTCTCCCGTAGAAAAGTGCAGTGCGTAATTAAGGCGACAGCTTTGACATTTCCCTTCTCTCAGGGCCAAAACCTACCTTTCCGATGGTGATAGATCTGAGGCCCACTTAGGTTTTTTTTCAGAATTCAGGGGAACAGCCAAAAATTTTTACGCACGAATATATCTATTTTACCCTTTTTTCAAACCAAAATTATAGTGCGACCGACCACGAAGCTGATGGGCACACGGAAAGACAGCTGTCGCGCGTCCACCATCCACACCACCGTACCCCGCAAAAATGGCGTTGATTTCCAGTCATTTGTTGGCCTTATTTACCTGAAACGAATATGCAAAATGCTGCATATATCCTCATGTGTTAGATTCTCCTTGATGAACATCCTAAGCACGTTAGTCCGATTGCTTATATCAATACAATACTTGCACTTATAGGGTAGATGAGCGTTTGCATCACATTCCGCTGCTTCTTCGCTGATCCTGGCCTTCTCACCATGAGACAGCATATATAACACTTGAACGCTTGCACTCACGGCCCATACCGCCATCAGTTTCCTCCTAGGGGAATTTTCAACCCGTCTCTCGGGTGTAGCTTATCTATTGCCCCTAAATTTGGTCTGACAATAAAAGTATCTCATCCACTTACCTAGAAAGTCCCTCTATTTATCCCGGAACCTTTTAGAGGGGCTTTGCTCCGTTCTTCCGCTTCTGCCATTTGAGTGTTACTGGAAAATCTGGATCAACTGGAACGTCTGCTACAAGGTACGAATGAATTCGTAGAAAGCGTGTTTCATTATTCCAGTATCACAGTGATCGAGTCACAACGAGAGCTGCTTGATTGTCCAACGAACGTCCACTAACCTCTGTATCATCACCTAACTTCTTTGAATTCCGCAGGACATAGGAAAAGGCTCCAAACTTTCTTTAGAGAGAAACTTCACAAGCGAAGTTGGAAGCCACAGTTTGCCGGCGTTCTTGTAAGCGTCATCTTGATTAGTCACCAAACGCGTGCGGCAACGGCGAAAAATTGAGCAACTCTCAAAAAATAAATGTCTCGGCTAATTGCTTGTGTTTACGAGGCAAATCAAAGATATTTCGCACAAAACGAATAGCCGACTGGATGGCAGCAATCAGTCGGCATGAGGATGCACGCCCTCAGATCTTCAGAGTAGATTTTGGGGATTAGATGGCCTTAGAAATACAAAAGTGGATGCAACTGGAGGTCAGCTACCCAGACCAAGGAGTTCCCCCACGAACTGATGTCCGAGCGATAGTTAAATTACACATAAGAGAAGCTCCAGGTATTTCAGATTATCACCACATTGGAGATGCTTGGTAGTTGCTGTGTGAAACAAACTTCCTCCGACGGTTGTCCACACTCCATTCGGTACCCAGTTCAAAGGACTATTAGACGCTGTTTATGAGCCTTCGCGCTGGCAAGTTTACTGCCTCATGCTGAGAACTTATAGGGCAGTCCTGCACCCTTTTTCGCTTGTGCATTTCAGGTGAACGGCAGCCACCGAACGGCAAGAACAAATCCGACCCGAGAAACTTGGGCGAAAGCTTCTATCCTGTGTATCAATCCGTGAATCCTTATCTACGAACCTTTCATCACATCCAAGTTACAGGAAATTATGGCATTATTTGAATGTACGAACAGGCAACAAACTGTCGATGGCAAAGCCACGTAACGCAACGTAATGAAGCAGAAAGCGAATATTGGATCATTCTGGTGTTTTTTTCCAGATGGAATGTTTGTAAGACATTTTGAAGCTGATGCAGGGGCAGTCCCGAGGAACAGTCACTCAAAAGAGAACATAGAGAGGCTCAGGTGAGTTCTGTCAAGCGTATGACACTTCAAAAGCGAGTGCACTTTCTTAGATTCGACAAGTTTGTGTTCATTTGGCACAAATCTCACGAAAACCCGAGGATAGCGCCAAGCGATCAGTCCAATGAGGGGCGAAACCGAAAATGAGTTGCTCAGTGGCTCTCAACGACCATATGATTTATCCCTTCTGCTTCCTAAGTGAGCCCAAAAAATAAAAGATAATCGTTCAGCTGTAGCACTCCTTCGATGTCTAGCTGCCATGCCACCGGAAGGAAGCACGAGGGCTGGGATACTACCAGGTTGCCAAAGCCAAGACAAGAGAAGTCGAGATGCAGAGGTCGGGTTCGAACCACGGACCTTTAGATTGGTAAATTCGCGCTCTAACCACTGAGATATCTCGCCCTAGTGAAACCAAACAGAATTGTGTCATAACCCGTCTATAACCAATGATAATATAAGTAGTCCTGGTGGAAAATGTACAAAGGAAAAAGCATCTGAGATTGGTCAGATATGATTGGACGGGGCCAAAACATGCTGCACGTGGTGGGGCAGTTCCGTACATATGCTTTGATAACTCTGGAGAATTTCACGGTGGTGCCGAGGCTGGCTGTTTGATAGTTGCGTTTGAATCGCTGGTTCATGTAGTATTGGACGGTGGGTGTGGGGCAATCTGCAGCATTTTCGCAACTCCTTTCGCTCGTACAAACGCATCGACCACTTCTATCGCCGTCTTATCCGTTCATTGAGTAGACATGTGTCATTTAGTTCGAATTTTACGCGCAAGTGTTTCCTATACGTGTCAAGATACACTTTCTTTCCATGTAAGTGATTTGAATACTCGCCTACAAGTTCAAAAGTTGTAATGAAGAGCACCTGGTTATTTGATCGAAAAAAGCCGCCATTTAGCAAAGAAGTATCCCCCTAATGTGAATACTTTCGGCTTCACGTGACATATCTTCTTCATCATCATCATCATCATTGACAGCGTGATATCAACGTTCAACACCGATGCTTCACTGCCGTACTCACGGAACATAGCTTAAGAACCTCTTTTCGGTTAGACGGGGATACACCATGGGTGTGCCACTCAGTCACAACAACCTAATACATATCTCGTGGCACAGTGGTCGATCCAACGACTTTCGCGAAAAAAAACCACGGACAGCTCAGTGAGATTTTGTCTTCTGATTATGGTGACCAGCTGCCTAAAAAATCAAGAGTATTCAAGAATTTCATTCCGGAAATTCATTGTTGTCTCGGTTTGATAGAAATCGATTCAGGGGAACGGGTAGTTCATCCTCATTCTTGGACTGGTGGGATGATGCCAAGTGGGTTAAGAAAGCTCATTCATGCGAAGTAAAGTGTTACCAAATTCAACAATACATCTGGGAGACTCACCTGATCCCTAGCTGTACCTATCGTTTATGCTGTTCTTCAACTGAATGTGTTGCACCAAGCAGCGACATGTTTCAGTTGGTACAGTATTCCAGATGCCATAAACGTCGCAAATTATTAATAAGGCTGTCGAAGAGTTTTCGGCAACTTTATGGGTAGTGTGTTACGTCTGAACTTAACCTATTTAGTTCAAAAATCCTCTGGGATAAGTTTTCAACCAATAATTTAAACTCTACCCGAATCCTCATATCAGGAGACCAAAACAGTCAACGTTAGGATGAAATTGCAGAAAACAGCAGATTAGCGAAAAACGTGAAGTATGTATGTTCAAAAGAAAACAGAGCAGAAAAACAAATCAGAATGGTCTGGAGGTATGAAGTTATTCATAAACAGTTGAATATACATGCATCAAAATCAGCATAATCTTGGACAACTTTAATGGTCGCAAGTCAAGAATTAAAAAGGAAAATAAGCTCCACGATATTTGAGTGTGCCAATCACTTATTCCGTAAGGATTCATCATCTTCAAAACACATTATGATGTTTGAAAGACAGATATATCGACACACCTAACCAGGTCGCCAGATGATTATGCGGTCGGTAGTGAGTTTTGGACGAGGAGCGGAATCAACAACAGACTGAACCGGTAACCCTCTGAACTGTGGTCCATCTACCGGCAATTCTCGAACAATTTGATAAAGCGAAGGTCGCTTTTGACGAACCGCTTGGGATGCAACTGACAAACGAGATAAACCACGTAGGGATTCGCCACGTCTGAGCAGATGAACTATTTTCACAGGGCGCGATCCGGAAATAGACATTCTACGTTGGCGATCACTCATAAATCGCACGTCTGTCCGACTCCTTGATTTGAAAGGCGATTCCACGGACTTCAGATCAGTGACCGAATGGGTGTAAGAATGCCGTTGTTTAGAGACATCCAGAACAGAACGTATTCTCTGGCTGGTTAGTGAAGCACTATCAGATGAAGCAAGATCAGGCGTATGTTGGATCGGTCGGGTTAAATTGCGTGCACAATCCCACTGCTGTGGCAAAACTTTAGCTGTAGGTATCCTAACAACCCGAATCGACGCATCTTTCCTCATTGATGGATCATTAACAGTGTGGCAAATGGCTTCAGGTGCATTCGTATTCACCGATTCCGTTCCACTCATAACTACCTTCGAGTTGGACCTGAATTGGAAGGATGAGTCAGACGGGGCGTGAGTAGATTCAGATGGCCTGGATACTGAGTCCATATGGACTCCACCTGATGGGTCAGAAACCCTGATAATCGAATTTCTCCTCTGCGATTTATTACATTGTCGGCGGTCGGGTTGCTTCGTACCATTAGCACTCCTGTGCGAGGATCGACGTTTGATAGCCTGAATCTGTCGTTTCAGTGAACATTCAGGTAGTTTAACGACATCATCATCGGTGAAGAAAATCCCAGGATCATACTGCGGGCAATTAGATGTAAACCAGGAATAAGTCGAGTTAGAAACCAAAGAACTATAGGTCCCGTTAGGTTCAGAAAACAGGAAACCAAATTAAAACTGTGGGACATCTGTAAGCTGTGAGCCTATTCATTGCACCGAAAATCAAGACTACTGCGAATGGCGTCGTAGTGTAAAATTTCTGGCGACACTAGGTACCGGGAAAATTAACGGGACCTAGCAACATCATAATATTAAATAGAGATTCCGTCCTGTCAGTGAAGCCAGTCCATGCTACAAAGCCGATAAACGCTGTATAGGTGTCCCATCCTTGTTCGGAATCACCAGCAGTGCGCATCCCACGAAACTCGGAGTTTCGAGTTGTATACTTAATCGTTTGGCCAGGGATGGCTGATCAGCAGCACGATTAACTCTCATTTAGACAGGAGATAGCGCCACTCATTAGTCAATCACGAAATCACATCACATGGTCACGTACATAATAAGGGGAAAATAGGAACGAATTGCGACCGGAATGTGGTGAACTGGGTAAACCATACAAATCAGGCTTGTTGAATGGTGATATATCGCGTGTTTGATGAATTTAACTTTCTATCAGTGAAACGGCCAAGATGAGTGCAACTTAATTCCAAAGCCCCGTAATCAACGTGAAATGACAAATGAATGACGGCAGGGTTGAGCCACAAAGCCGTATACCGGAATCGATAAATTTTGTAACATCAAATCGAAGCTGGCGATTATTGGTGGTCGTTGGCTTGTTCGCTGAGCTGGACAATTTGATTGCAAACGTTTCATCACCAATCGAGGCTACATCATCAGTGCGTTATTGAGGAGCGTAGTAGTGCGTCGCGGTGGGTTGGTGATTATTGTTTAAAAACAATAAGGGTTCTATTTGTTCAGAAAGCATAATTTGAAAAAACTAATCAAGCTATCCTAGGGTGGAACAACCCACGTTCTTATCTGGTTATAAAAACGCGGTCGGAATGACTAAGATAATCATACTTGTTGTTTCTCGACAGCATCGAAGTCCAGATGGCCTTTGAAAAATTCAGAACATTGGAGCGCATCACATCCATGCAATCGTTCCTTTTGGTTTTTCTCTAACAACTTTGAGAATTGGGGAAAACAGAGAAAACGACAAGTAAGATTTGTGTCCGAGGTAAGAAGGCTGTGGTAAGTTTTGTAAGAAACAGACAAGATGCAATCTAACACATGTCAGTAAAACCTGCAATAGAATTCGGCTGGCGCAAAAGCTCACACTGCCGACAATCAGCAAGCAGCTCACACACAAGAAGAGTGAAACTCCCACCTGAGAAGTCATCACTCGAGGAGCTAGTTAACACGTGACTACGTCATGTGGTTGCGGTGACTGAAGGACGGATGGCGCTATATCCAATCGAACTTCCACTGTTGATCTGCTGCTCGTCGCCACATAAGAAAACGTCATGCTTCTTGCCAGCGTTGAGCAAGCTATCAGAATAGGTGGCTGTAGATAACACCCAACTTTACGCACACATGCACGCCAACCCGCCGACACTAACTAACAATAATTGTTTCCACGGCTAACTGAAGTTGCTTCACTTATTCCTGAAGGATAAGCCCTCAAAAATTGAAGGACCAGCGCTGCCTATATGTCACAGCCCTGTTGCCTAAACATAAAATCTCGAATATCGTGCAAGATGAAGCTCGGAGACTGCGCCTACCTAAAGAGCCCTAAGAAGGGAGAACTGTTCGCGGGCTGTTCGAGAGTTTTCAGTAACATTATGAGTGGTGCTCCATTAAGAAAATAGTACGCACTTCATTGTATTCGGTTGTCGGTAGGGAATACTTAGCGAATACAGCGCGGTTGCAGTCTTCTAATTGTTTCATTCCTCACAGCGGTCGTTCGGACAACGTTGGATTGTATCAGCCTTCGCTGGTCGATCAACATTTATTATTCTGAAGGAATAAACCCTTTCACTGATGCCATACTACTAATACATTCAACGAAAAATCTTCGGCAACCTTATGATGGACATCGAATCAAGAAAAAATTATTCGACGTCTTGAATGCCAACGCAGCTGCGAACTGAGTTAGCCTTAGTGTCTCGCGCATTCGATTGAAAACTACCGATTAAATTTGTAACTGAGCGCTTTACTCCAAAAACTCTTTTGTTTTGGTCACAAAGGTGTCAACTGAAACTGAAATTCGTTTTTACGAGTATCGCTCCGTACAACGAAGAAATCGCAACCGACAGGTCTCGATACAGCATACAGGTAAGGGACGCCATTTAAATGACCTAACTATTTCTCGCAGCCATTTCCAGTGACCAAACTAAACGCCCAGTTAGCTTGTTGCGGAAGTTTGGTAGTGTCAGGCAAAGTTGTCAGAACCTCACTTTCAACCACGATAATAAAATATTTGTATCCTGAAACACATAAAGGAAACAAAAGGTCATAGTGCCGAGGCAAAACTGATACGCATCAATGTAAAATAACGCCTGCATGGGCGATAATGGCACTCATATCTTGACAGTGCTTCCAGTTGATTGGAGCGGTAGTGCAGCAACTTGGTTACTAGTACTCACGGACGACAAAATTCGGAAAACTGACGAACCGTAAGTGTTGAATTCGTCTACGACTGGAGGATCTTTTCAAGGCAATAGGGTCGATAGACCACCTACTGATTTGTCTCATTCCGATGCGCGAACATGCTCCTTTCAATCATTTACAGCTCGATGTGACATATTCGTTCACCATGTGATATAATAAATAATACCTTAGCTCCCATAGTATAACTAATCCGAGCAGCGATCGATAGAATTAGTTCTGTTTTCAAGACTTTCGTACATGCCAGAGGATATACAATCAGGTAGTACGGTGTGTACGTGCTCCAAGCGCGGAGACATCAATGGTTGCATCACTCGTGTGTGGGTATTCAAGTCGACTTTTTCATGCCCACTTTTTCACGTTGTACGATGCTCGGTTTGATGTTGGGGGAAGGGCAATCCCAAAGATTAGGTATCCAAAAGGCGCCCGGATGCGTTTACTTCAGCAATGAAAGGATACAAAGGCGCTTTGTTTCTGACACTTTTAAGTACGGATGATTCTCTTTTCCCTACCTCACTAGAGCGTTCTTCCTTTATGGTGTATTTCTGTCCACCATGCCAAGGGTGAAGGAGAAAGATGATGATAAGAGAATTCCAGGATAACCTAACTTGATTCCAGTTCATCCAAGAGATACCTCTTCTCTTTGAAGCGTAATCAAAGTTCATAGAAATGCAATAATCGAATTCAACACCAGGTTCACAGTCTTTTACCAAGCTTGGCGACTGGATTGCATTTTACAACAGTACTCACCTGACAGATGACATTACCAAGACTTGGCTCCAAATCATCCGGAGGTTTATAAATAAGTGCATTCAAGTTACGACGCATGGTCAAGTGATCTTGCACCGGTTGGATTGGATACTCCCCACAAGAAAGTGCATGACAAAGGATACCAAGCGCCCACCAATCTACTAGATACGTGTACCCAGTTCCATTTAACATTTCCGGCGCTGCATAGGCTAGGGTTCCGCAAATGGTCCAAGTAACCGAAGTAAGTTGTTCCACTTGCTTTGAGGCCCCAAAGTCGATGAGCTTGATGTAACCTGTTTCAGTGAGCATCATGTTTTCCATCTTGAAAATGCTCCGTTTATGATGAAACAACATAGCACTACCTTTAGATCACGGTGTATAACTGACTTCGAATGTAAATAGTCTGAAGAGAACAAAGTTTGCGCGGGTCATGAGTGAGAAACTTACCAAGAGCTAGTGCAACCTGCGAAACAAGGAACCGTAGCAACGGATGTGATACGCGTAACACACGTTTCCACAAGTCGAACAGTTCACCTCCGGAAAGGTACTCCATTGCTCGACGCTGAGCTAGGAAGTATAAGGGAAAAACCTACCCAAATAAAGTTTGGTTTTACTCTGCCAGCTACCGACAAAATCAACCACAAAAGGATGATTAAGCCTACGCTGTAGATATACAGACATGAGATAACCAAATGTAAACTTACAAGGATTCTAGCCTCTTCTATGGTTTGTTTAACACATCGCCGACCCCGTTTGACTAGACTGTGTTTGTGAAACACTTTCACGGCATAGTGTAGATCTAACGTTTTATCGAAGACCTTTAGAACTGATCGATCGGAATGTTTGTCTGCATTTCCGATTACCTAGTGACAATAAAAGAAGACTAAGACAGCCCACAATTTTTACCTCGCAATCCTGTACAAATGGGACGGAGCGACTCGGAAACTCTAAAGCAAAAGGATCAACCTTCTCGCTTTTTTCGACGAATTCATTGCTATCCCTGAAATCCTATCCACAATGAAAGATCATGGCATCACGCAACTGGCAGACCTTACCCGTATTTGCTGCGGTACAGGCATAGTTCAATTAGGGGCGAAGCACGGGATTATAACTGGCATTGGGTAGGACGATCCACTGACTTGGCTAAGGAACACATAAGCTGCAACAAGGATAGAGGGTCATAAGACCGGTTTAATCTGGGGAAAATAAGATAGACAATGCTGGTTTTTAACACCATAATTTGAAATTAGAGACCTAATAACAGGTTTAAGTGGAAGGTGCGTGTTGTGACTGTGCGCTAGCTGTGTGTTGTAGGAGCTTGCTAGAGTTAAATCAACCACGTTTGATAGTCCAGGACTTGAGTGGGAAAACTTCGAAAAAATCGTTCAGCTGTAGCATGCTTTCGGTGCCTAACTGCTGTGCCATCAGAAAGAAGCTTGAGGGCTGGGATACTGACAGGTTGACCAAGCTTAGTCAGGAGAAGTCGAGATGCAGACAGTGGGTTCGAACCACGGACCTTACGGTCAGTAAGGTCGCGCTCTAAACACCGAGTTATATCTCCTCATCGCTGATGAACCAGCCGGAGTTCTATCACTGCATAAACCATCATCACCACCGACAGCATGACATCAGTGGTCAACAATGATGCTTCGCTGACGTAATTACTGCATTAGCGGTTGGTCTTCAGAGTTGTCCTAACATAAGGCATCGGCCCGACCTAAAGCTGCCACCTTGAAATGGTGGTCGGGCTTGAGGTCTGCAATGATCCCGCGGGCTACACTAGCTGGAACTTCGTTCCACAAGGTTCAACAATGTCAGGAAGGCCAAAGAGGAGCAGCCAGACCGAGAGCAGCTACACCGCGAACTACGAGTAATCGTGCTACGAGGCGGTTTGGGAGCAAAGTCACACTGTCTTCTGCGATAAGAGTGTGAACACAGTAAGGTGTTTCCCTCAGGCGACAAGCATGTCCATAGTTACGGAAGCAGCAGTGCAGCCTTCCTCCGAGGAAGAACGGGTTAGAAAAGGTCGGCCCGAAAAACCGCACAATCCGATTGCACAAAGGTCGACCGTGACTGTCAGCGCATTACCCAATACGGTCGAAATACATTCAAAACCAAAGAGCCCAGTGCCATTCAAAAGGTACCAGTTGTGCGCAGCCGCATCAGCAATGAGACAGTGTCTGTGGAGCAAAGGTGTCCCCCATAAATTCTTGACCCTCCTTAAGACGCTGTACGCCAATCCCCGTAGCCGTGTAAAGGTCTACGGGAAGCTCTATTTTGAGTTCACTACATCAATGGTGTCAGACAGGGCTGTCCTCTTTCACCTTTCCTCTTCAAATTCGTCATTGATACGATCATGGAAGACGCACTACCAGCCTCTAATGCCTGTGGGGTCGAAGTGCTCCCTGGGCCTCCGCTCACAGAAATCGAGTACGCAGA